GTTGCATGCTGTTGAAAATCAGCGGTGTATGCAACTACGGACCCTCTCTGCGTGAGAGCCTGGAGTGCCCTGACTGCATTTCGTCGTTCATCGATGTCTCCGAAGCTTGCCTTAAGCGTTTTCAGGAATCCGTTCCAGGATACAAAAATTTCCTTCGTTCCTTGACTAGCTAAGGTGTTGCATTTTCCGTCGGGTGTTCGATGGTTCATGTAGTTGGCGAGGTAGTTAGATATCCATTCTGAGGCTGGTCCTCGAAAGAGTGCCACAGCCCATAGGACCTGTCCCACTTCTTTGTTAAAGTGTTGGCGTTAAACGCCATCCATAGCTCTGTCTGGATGATGAAACTCTTGAGCTTCTTGCAATCCCCATGAAAGGTGTCTGGGAATGCAATCTTCAACTTGTCTGAAGGGTGAGCCTGTGTGTAATGGTGGGTGCACCAGATGTGAGAATCTAGCCACCCAAGGAAGGGATGATTTTACTAAGACAACACACTGTCTGAGGAAAAAGAGCCAAAGGGTCATAGCTTAGACTATTCCACAACGCAGCAATCAGGTGTATGATGTAGTGGAGTGGTTTAGACAAGTTGTACAAATGTTGAGTCTGAGAACTCAGGGATAAGTCAGAGGTTAGCACCTCACTGACTTTTCAGAAACAAGGAGTAACAAGATCAATGCTTGGAAGCTTGGAAAAGACGTGGAAGTATGTGATAGTTGATTTACTGTATTGTCTGCTTGCCCTTTCTTAAGGAAAGGGCAATCCTATTTATGCTAAAGGAGTGTAGTTCTCTCATTTTCCAAGACTTTCCATGACTAACCAGGCTTGGTAACTGTAGTCGATGTAAGAGAATCCCATAGAACCATCTCTTAGGTTCGTAGCCTATAGGAAGTAAAAGGAGGTCCAAGGTCAGAGTACCCCTATAGACAAATTATGTCATAGACAAATTATGTCATAACTTAACCAATCTTGTTGGTAACTAAAGAGCGATGACATGTAATGAATCATAGAGGTTCGTAGGAGCTTTTAGAGCTATCGTTCATGCTCCTAGGCCTCTAGTTGGTAGAGATATGTCATGTGTATTATTAGCCCAGTAACTAAGGAGTGATGTCATGTAATGAATCATAGAGGGTTGTAGCAATCGTTGAGTAGTATTGCTCTTGTTGTTGGTGTGACAAGCCAAAATATGTATAGTGACTTGTAGGTTTGAGGAGGAGATTTCTAAGTTTGCTCGTTGCGGTTGCTCAGGGGTGTAGTTAGTTCGTGTTTATGTGTGGCTGTGTTGTCATCAATAGCACCTGAGCACCACAAGCATTCGATTTTTCCCGAAAAGTACCAGCTTAGATTGGAGAGCAGATAACTGCATCACAAACTCAATATGAATTTGACATATTCAACCCCGACCTCTAAAACACTCATGTAAGACATTTTATTTCACTACTGTTACAGTATTATCTCGTTAAGTTGATACACAATTAGTCAATTTTCTGGATAACTTGATAACTTTCTTCCGATCCTTCCATTCGTCATACAAATCACGATACACACAATATTGAGTCCCTTTTCCCAATTATCGACTTAAACTAATTACTAGACTACTCTTAGAATACCTTCAAAATGCCTTCGAAAAAGCTCCATTCTATGACTCTCGAACAGCGAAAAGCCCTCCGAACCTGGCATTGATCTCACCATCTGAAACCTACACAAAAGGCCACTATCAAGCAATACAATCATCAACTTAGCCAATCTACAGTCTTAGAATCCCTTAGCTCTCAATTTTCAGACCTTGACGATACTCCTAATACTCTAGAAACAAATAGCTCTAAAGCTTAGCGTCGCTGCGCTGTCGTCTAGCCTAAATTAGAGGCTGCTCTTTACGACTAGCAGAGGCTTATTAAAGAGTGTGGTGGTATTACAACTATGGAAATCTTATAATCAAAAACGAAGATTATCTAATCAGCTACCATAATACCATGGACTACCTACGCTAGAATTTAGCTACAGATGGATCGTAAAGTTTCGACAACGGCATAATATATTATATCAAACTCTATATAGTGAAGCTAGATCTATTAGTGCCACTATAGAAGAACAAATGAAGGCTATACAAACTATTGCAGGGGAGTTTTTAGAGGACAATATTTACAAGATGGATGAGACTGGGCTTTACTAGAGGATAAGCCCTTTAAAGGGCTTTATAACATGATTAATTTTAGGATAGAAGAAGGACAAAAACGTATATTAGTAGCCATTTGTGTTAATGCTGCTAGAACAGATCGACTGCCTCTTTAGTTTATTAGAAAGGCTAAAAAGCTGCAAGCTTTATAACACGTTAATGTAGGGGCAATAGGTGGGGTTTGTTACGATGGTCATAGAGGTCATGATGCCAGTCCAGGAAAAGTAATCTAGATTGAATCTAAAGAGAGAAGAAGAAGAAGAAGGAAGGAAGGTGAGGCTATTCCTCATAACATACAGTTGTCTGCTTAGCGGTTGTAACCTTGGTGGCTAAGGCTACACCCGTAATCCCCATAACAACTGTAATAACCGTAATAACCGTAACAACCGTAACAACCGTAACAACCGTAACAACCGTAACAACCATAACAACCATAACAACCGTAACAACCGTAACAACCGTAACAACCATAACAACCGTAACAACCGTAACAACCGTAACAACCGTAACAACCGTAACAACTGTAACAAGCTGTGACAAGCTGTGAGCTGTAATCGTAACAGGGTTTAGAGGTGGAATAAGAAGGCTTAGGTGAATCAATTTGTTATAGCAGATTGGCTAAATGCTTTCTATACTCATATTAGTATGTCACGTTCTATACTGCTTACAATGGATAACTTCTTGGCCTATATCACTATAGTAGAATCAACACCTCCTCCTCTAAACATACGAATTATCTAGCTTCCTCTAAATGAGAGATATCAACCTCTTGATCAAGGTATTATAGCCTCTTTAAAAAGCTATTATCGTCAGCAAGGGCTTGAGTTCATGCTCGAATCTTTTAGCAACAACTTAGATCTAATCAAAACAATGACAATACACTTTGCAATTCGCTAGCTTATTCGATCATGGCATCATGACGTTACAAATACGACTATCTACAATTGCTTTCGAAAAAGCACAATTCTTTTACGCCTAATATAGCTTCCTATACACCAACTTCCTGTTCTAAACGACTTATATACTCAAGTATAACAAGCTGGTCATATATTAGACGCTTTGGACCTTTCAAACTTTTTGAATCTAGCGGAGGTGGAAATACAAGAGGTGGAGGGAGGCTTAGATGAGGACACAATTCTACAGGAGGCGATGACTCTATATATACAGGTTCCGATGCTCAAGATGATGAAGATGAGGAGCCCTAGTGTCCTATGCTCACTACACAGAATGCTATACAAGCCCTCTAAGTTCTGATTGAGTTCTCAGAATCTGAGAATAGTGGCATCACGGATCTAGCATCATTTTTGCGCTCTTTAGAGCGCGTGGAGAGGCAATTAGTGGCTAAACAGGCCAATGACTTGCTTCAAGGCACGTTGGATGGATGGATGGTTTAGCTGAGGGGCTACTTCGGGTCTACTTCAGATCACTTTCTAACTCGATATTACTATAACTCGATATATTTATGCATGACCAATTACATCGACATAACGAAGGCGTGCCAGCAATATACAGGCCTTTCACGCCCAAGTCCAAGCTGTCAATCAGGCCCTGGATATCTCCGCCGTGTCACAACATTGTTTGCATCGAGTCGTGCTCAAAGAGCGTCCCGTTGATATTATCGTTTGATGGGTCGCCATTGACGAATTTGTCCAGGAACAGGGTGTAAAATGGGAATCGCCAGTTCGTCGGCGATGGGTGATATGTGTGCCCAGCCCATTTGTTGTTGACAACACCAAGCGTGGCGTCGTCTTCATTCAGATTATATCCAACGTACTCCGCCTCATACCTAAGCGCATTGCTCCCCAAAGCATACAACCCCCATAACGCAATTCGCAACAGCGAAGCCATGGCTGGTGACGCCTATCCCGCCTCTGCAAGCAGAACTGGGGAAATGAAGAAAGGTATAGTCTATAGTACAAAGCTACAGGAGCTCACTCGCGAAAGTGGTCAGCGAGTTGGAGAAATCTGCAGGACAGAAACAAAAGTTAAATCGGGGGCGGAAGGAAGCACATATTTTTGGATGCCGCCAAAATGTTACCCAAGTGGGCGGGCTGGTGCACGCTGTGCCCATCACTTTTATAGGATCTAACATAACCGCCTGGGATGCGGCTTATCTCAGCCTTGGCCAACCGGCCAGAAGCTACCTAACTATGACGGCACAGTACGTAGTATGGGGGCAGTGAGATACCGGAAAAGACCTCAATATGGGTTGGAAGCCTTGGAGTCACGATTAGGCGTTCAAATCGGAGCATCAGCCCATATCTTTTGCCATACCGCCCATACCGCCCATACTGTAGTACTTCCTCTTACTAGTAGCGTGTCAGAGCTCATCCACTCCTCTAGGCAAAGTCATACTGGATTGTTGCGACCATGTAAGGACACAGGGCACCCAGCTCACAGTAATAGCATATGAGAGTGCGAGTCGGAGGCTAAACAGATGCTATCCTATAGGTCTACTACGAAGGATACAAAAAAGATGATGGGGAACCCCCGTCAGTCGATTTTCTCAAGTATCTGAAACCCATCCGACTCGGTTCCAGCTCGGTTCCGACTCGGTTAGGCCACCCAAATGATCACACGTGACCCCGCGGCTACCCGGAGTCTACTCCCTAGAATGAGAGACGAGAAGGCATCCTTACAGACCAGACAGGTTCGACGTCGATATCGACAGATGACTATCCGCCCATCTCTGCGTTGTTACGACAATTCAACCTACGTTGCAGCCGCATCGTCACACAGGAGGTTAGCATATGCTGCAACTGCCAGCCTCGAGAACAAGTTTGAACGCCTTCGCCCACCCACCTGCGACGTGTGACCTTTCGACACTATAATGTCGGACCTTATCACAGGCAAACACCTCGAACCAGAGAATTTGGATGGCCAGAATATCACAGGAGAATTAGAGCGCTTCGGTCAATGGGCTAAGGCGGTGAAATTTCAACCTCTGAGCCCTGGAATAGAGAAGTGCGAGGTTCAGGACAGGGACCAAAAAGTTAGGCTGGTATTGAAGGAGCTAGGATATGAAAATAAGGTTCGCGATGTTACATTCAAGTAGAAATAGCGTGCTGACACTTAGTAGCTCGAAATCAAGTATCAAATTTTGTTCGCAAGAATACACAGACTATGGCATTGCGAATTATCTCTGAGGGCGAGCGCTGCTCTAATTAAACATCCGCTTCATCAAGTACGAGAAGAGCTTTCCATCTTGATGCGCATTGGAAGATACCTGGAAGGCGCGCCTCAATTCTTCCTGCACTCATGCCCAACTCGCCCGTGGAGACCTGTATTATTAGTATGTGCGGGAAAATGGTGTCTAAGCAGATGTACCGAATAAAGTGGCTTCTGAAGATGCTCAGATAGGACCTCAGCTGTCAAAGTCTTCCCCACACCTGGTGGGCCGCTATTTAAAGTCAGTATGCGATCAGTTTGCTATCAAACTCAAGAGCAAACTTAGAAATCTCTCCTCAAACCTACAAGTCACCATACATATCTTGGCTTATCAGACCAACAACAAGAGAAATACCACTCAACGATTGCTGCAAACTCTTCTACTACATCTGTTTATGCTACATACATCCCGGCATATTATTTGGACACTCATTGAACAAGTTATTAAGAAAATCTACTCCTTAAGGGGGTGGGCCAATACTACCACATGGCATATCTCTACCAACTAGAGGCCTAGGAACATGAACGATAGCTCTAGAAGCTTCTACAACCCTCTATGATTCATTACACATCATCGCTCCTTAGTTACCCACAAGATTGGTTAAGTTATGACATAATTTGTCTATAGGGGTACTCTGACCTTGGACCTCCTTTCACTTCCTATAGGCTAGGAACCTAGGAGATGGTTCTATGCAATTCTCTTACGTTCACTACATGATTAGCAAGCTAGTTGTGGGTCGCACTTGATTTCTAATACAGTTACCAAGCCTGGTTAGTCATGAAAAGTCTTGGAAAATGAGAGAACTACACTCCTTTGGATAAATAAGATTGCCCTTTCCTTAAGAAAGGGCAAGCAGACAATACAGTAAATCGACTAGCACATACTTCTACGTCTTCTTTGTTTCTGAAAAGTCAGTGAGGTGCTAACCTCTGACTTACCCCTGAGTTCTCAGACTCAACATTTGTTACAACTGGTCTAAACCAGTCCACTACATCATACACCTGATTGCTGTGTTGAGGAATAGTCTAAGCTACAACCCTTTGGCTCTGTTTCCTAAGACAGTATGTTGTCTTAGTAAAATCATCCCTTCCTTGGGTGGCTGGATTCTCACATCTGGTGCACCCACCATTACATTCTTCTCCACAAGCCCCACCATCTACTCCGCCACAACTTCTGTCTAAGCTTGCTGCATTTGAGGGTATCTCAAGTATCCTAATCGATGACGATCATAACAGCGAATGGGAGGATGCTGGGGTTGAAGACGATTTGGAGTTGGAGCTTATGTTACGGCGTGACGATATTTTAAATGACAAGGCTGTTCTACTAGATGAGCTTTCTGATGAAGACATCACTAGCATCTATGCTCTCTTAACTCAAGCGCACATTGATGTATGCTACCTCATAATCTAGTAATCTTCTGGTAATACTAATAGTTGATAGGCCCATAAAGAGTCCAATTTCCGCAAGTGGCAACATTTCTAGGATAGCTGTATCTGCTCATATACAAGAAAGGCTGGAAAGCTGAGAAAGAAGCCTAAGTGCCTCTTTGAGTATATGCCGTGGATTGATGTAGAGGAAGGGTATGTCTCTGATCATCCTAGCAATCTTCTAGCAATACTAATTGTTTATTATAGCACTTTTCCCACCACATAAATATTTCTGTTTGTATGAGCAGGCAGTTTGGACAAACTTTACAGCTTGGAAGTTTGGAAAGTGGGCCCAATTACCAGGACCTGCATAGTGGTACCCAAAGTCTTACAATCTTGTCAACAGTGGATGGTTGCAAGTATCCACTCATAGTTCTAGCTTCAAAGAGGCGTTTTTACTTGTCTACTCTAAGAAGTTTGATAAGGAAAAGTGGGCTAAGGTATCAGCTGCACAGGATATGTTGTTCCTAGAGCTACACTAGAGGAGAACTTGAGTTGCTAAAGTTATAGCGCCAGAGTACCTGGTTTTCTAATGCAGATACGGGCTATAGAGAAATTTAAGTACTTCATCGTAGCCAGATTTCTAGTAACCTTCTAATAATCGAGCAATTTGCCAAATATCATCTCAATACTCAGAGTTGTTTGATTGTAACAATCCTATTGCAGATGTATTCTCAGACTCTTTTCCGTCTTCTCAATGACTATCCTCATTAAATCAAGTGCTTGCAGGCCTTGAATATATTAGCAAAGTAAACCAATTCGTCAAATGGACTAAGGATACACACGATGTATTCATTAAGTGGTAGAAGCTATCACGATGGTATGAACAACACTCAGATCATACTACAAAACTCCTTACGAAGATTGCATAGGATTCAACCAACCAGAGTTCTCAATACTAGAGAAGTTATCACCAAGGAGCAGGCCGACTTTCTAGAGAACCATGTGTCATTTGTACTTATTGTTCAAAGGCCCTTACACATCCTGCAATCAAGTCTGCTGGCACAAAGTCTATGGCAACACATCTTGCATCAGACATTTGCAAAAGAAGTCACGGATGGGTAAGGATAGTCTCTATCAAATGCAAATCAATCAAATGCGACCTCAACAAGTAAGGATTACCAGATTATTACCAGAATCATGTAGGTTAATACCTATAATAGGATCATATTCTAACACAAGAGACATTTTATGAACAAGTTCTACTCATAGCTCGTTCCGCTCAGTCGAGGATCCTAAATGGAAAAGACTTGCTATCTTACAGAATCCTCACTATCCACTACCCTCAGCAACAACTATTTGAAACCTCTTAACAACAAAGCTCACACAAATCGAAGAAGAGATGCTACAAGATGTTGTTCCTGGTTCAAAGATTGCATTATCGCTCGACTGTTGGTCAAGTGTTACCCGGCTTTCGTTTATGGGTGTTATTGCATCGTTTATCGAACGACTCACTATCACATCAAATCTGTGCGAGTACGCGAAATGTATTGATCCTAACTTATTGAACCTCAAGCGACATTCCTACAGCATTAACCAAGGTTAACAGGGCTATTATTCCTTCAGGTCGCTTGAACATATTTGCATCTACAGGCGACCCGATTTACTGCTGGCAAGACAAGAATATTTACGACTTCCTTGCTTTCCCAATGTACTTATCTGCTGCATACTCTCACCCCGATCGTGTCAAGTCACACTTTTCGAGATGTTATAATACAGAAGAGAGGGTCTGGAAACATCTGGATGGCTGTGGATAGTTGACAGAAAGGTTGAGCTCTGGAGGGTAAAGGAGAAGAACCATCATCTTCTCAAGAAGCTCCAATGCTCTAGGAAATCGGATCTGCTAAAAGTACCGCTGTCAGATCTCTTGGATGAACTTGAATAACTTAATCTTCTAAGAGTCGCAAGTACCTTACGTGCATGTATATGTAAGGCGGCCCATCATGTGAGGCCGCCCTGAACTCAGGGGCTACCTGGCAGTGGAGCCACTAGGGCTCGGTAAACTAGGGCATGTAGGAACGTAGGATATAAGGAGCTGGAAGCCTCAGAAGGAGGCCTCCAGCTGATAGTCGCTGTATTTACGTAGACCTATTGTCCTTACGAATATGATACCCCTTTCCTGCCTCTTGACCTGGTCCCTGGACTCCTGTGAGACCTTGGGCTTACGCGTTACAATTCTACCATTACAGCCTCAGAACTGGCGCGGCTCTTCCTAGCGTTCTGGGGCAAGGACTTTGGAATCCCAGCTGAGATCATAACAGATAAGGGAAGTGTGCCACTTCTGGTCAGCGTTCTGTTTCTACCTCAAAGTACAGTGTAACCTGTCCACCGCTTTCCACCCTCAATCCGATGACCAGACCGAGAGGCAGAATCAGAATATTGAAGCCTACTTGCAGGTCCACTGTAATCAGCACCAAGACAACTGGGTGGAACCCCTCCACTTCTCGGAATTGACCTACAATAACACCTTCAACAATTCCATCCAGATGTCGCCAAACCAGGCCCGATATGGCATTAATATAGACCTAAGACAAGGGATCGAGGATGACCCCACCAGAAGGGAAGTTCCAGTTGTGAAAGATCGCGTCAACCTGATCCTAGAATTGTGACAGGAGCTCAAAGAGGCATGGAAACAGACGAAGGAAGCCAAAATACGAGGCTATAACAAGCTACACAAGCCAATGTGTAATGGTGGGTGCACCAGATATGAGAATCTAGCCACCCAAGGAAGGGATGAATTTACTAAGACAACACACTGTCTTAGGAAACAGAGCCAAAGGGTTGTAGCTTAGACTATTCCACAACGCAGCAATCAGGTGTATGATGTGGTGAAGTGGTTTAGACAAGTTGCAACAAATGTTGAGTCTGAGAACTCAGGGGTAAGTCAGAGGTTAGCACCTCACTGACTTTTCAAAAACAGAGAATAACAAGATCAATGCTTGGAAGCTTGGAAAAGACGTAGAAGTATGTGCTAGTCGATTTACTGTATTGTCTGCTTGCCCTTTCTTAAGGAAAGGGCAATCCTATTTATGCCAAAGGAGTGTAGTTCTCTTATTTTCCATGACTTTCCATGACTAACCAGGCTTGGTAAATGTATTAGAAATCAAGTGCGACCCACAACTAGCTTGCTAATCATGTAGTGAACGTAAGAAAATCCCATAGAACCATCTCTTGGGTTCCTAGCCTATAGGAAGTGAAAAGGAGGTCCAAGGTCAGAGTACCTATAGACAAATTATGTCATAACTTAACCAATCTTGTGGGTAACTAAGGAGCGATGACGTGTAATGAATCATAGAGGGTTGTAGAAGCTTCTAGAGCTATCGTTCATGTTCCTAGGCCTCTAGTTGGTAGAGATATGCCATGTGGTAGTATTGGCCCACCCCCTTAAGGAGGAGATTTTCTTAATAACTTGTTCAATGAGTGTCCAAATGATATGCCGTGATGTATGTAGCATAAACAGATGTAGTAGAAGAGTTTTCAGCAATCGTTGAGTAGTATTGCTTCTGTTGTTGGTGTGATAAGCCCAGATATGTATGGTGACTTGTAGGTTTGAGGAGGAGATTTCTAAGTTTGCTCTTGAGTTTGATAGCAAACTGAGTGCAACGAATGTCAGTATGACACAATGCAGTATATGGTAGGAGAGAAGGTGTGGCTATCGGCCAAGAATATCAGGACCACCCAGCCAAGCAGGAAGCTGGGGCACCAGTGGCTTGGGCCATACGAGATCATCCAGCGGATAGGTAAACAACCATACCAGCTGGAGCTTCCACCATAATATAAGGCGATTCATGACGTGTTCCACATCTCCCTACTTGAGAGGTACTGGGAAGGCATAGAGAAGGCCAATCCTCCACCTGACCCAGAGATCGTGGATGGGGAAGAAGAATACAGGGTCGAAGTAGTCCTAGACCACAGGACTGTGCGAAAGGGCAGAGGAACTTGAGAAGAATACCTGATTAGGTGGGCAGGATACACTGCCACTGATGATCAGTGGGTTCCAAAGCTTGACGTAGGGCTACCATTAATTGAGGCATATCACAAGGAGCAAGCAGAGAGGAACAGAGTCAGAACAACGTAGTAGTATGTAACCTATAGACTATGGAAAAAAGAAAGTGTCAGAGTCCAACGAGGAATCACTACCCTCAGAAGAGGGCAATGATGATGGCAACGCAGAAACTGACCCACCACCCACTAGCGAAGGGGACCTGACCGCCACAGGAGGATGGGCGTTATACACCCATTTCTCTAGTCCCACAAACATCTGCTCAAGAAGGGCGCAATCGCAATCCACTGGTGCAGGCCCAAGGATAGGGCCCGCTGGCGAAGGCGCAAGAGGCGTGGGCATCACTCAAACTGCGGGAAGGGTCAGTAAGACGTCCAGGAAGAAGACCCAGGTAGCTCACGCCCCTCCACCTCCTCCTCCATAGAAGAAGAGTGGTAGGGGCAGATAGCGTGAGGGCATTGGCTCGATGCGACAGATCAAGAACGTTGGTTCGGCGTGACAGAACCAAAGGGAGTGGGCATCATCGGCGCCTCGCAGTCAGAGGAACCAAGCATCTCTGCTGCAGAATGTTTCTTCAGCATGAAGGAAAGCTTCTTGGCTGGTGGCTGGCGGGGTCCCATGGTAAAGGACTGTGCGAGCGAGGGAAGTAGGAAAGTCTGCTTCACCAGTCAGCCTCTGAGGAAGGAAAGAAAAGGAGGAAGGACACAATCACTGAAGAAGGTGTAGATCCTGGATAGAAGCTCAACCAACTGAAGATCGAAGAGCGAGAGCGAGAGCGAGAAGCACAGGTCAAACAATCGGGGAGGTGTATGAAAAAGGTGGACAAGAAGAAGGAAGGTGGGCGCGACCACCTACGGAGCGGTCACCAACCAACAACAAGGGGGGTCACAGGACCACCCTATCTAGCGACCACCCCAAGAATTAGGGCGAACAGCCCAAACAAACGCAGAAGGCCATACTCGTTGCCGCCTCGGAATTGAGGACAATCCCGCAGAAGTGTCATACTGACATTCGTTGCACTCAGTTTGCTATCAAACTCAAGAGCCAACTTAGAAATCTCCTCCTCAAACCTACAAGTCACTATACATATTTTGGCTTGTCACACCAACAACAAGAGCAATACTACTCAACGATTGCTATAACCCTCTATGATTCATTACACGTCATTGCTCCTTAATTACTGGGCCGATATGACCACATAGCATATCTCTACAACCCTCTATGATTCATTACATGACATCACTCCTTAGTTACTGGGCTAATACTACACATGACATATGTAAGGATGCTTCCGCCCTCAGTGATAGAAAGTATCGGAGTCGGGCAGGTTACGGTCACGTGGGGAGAGTTAGGGCAGGTTAGCCGAGTCGGACCCGTTTCGGGTACTTAAGGGGATTGACCCAATGGGTTTCCTCATGATCTTTTTTGTATCCTTCATAGTAGACCTATAGGATAGCATCCGTTTAGCCTCCGACTCACACTCTCATATGCTATTACTGTGAGCTGGGTGCCCTGTGTCATTACAACATATCTCTATCAACTAGAGGCCTAGGAACATGAACGATAGCTCCAAAAGCTTCTACAACCCTCTATGATTCATTACATGTCATCGCTCCTTAGTTACCCACAAGATTGGTTAAGTTATGACATAATTTGTGTATAGGGGTACTCTGACCTTGGGTCCTTTCACTTCCTATAGGCTAGGAACCTAGGAGATGGTTCTATGGGATTCTCTTACGTCGACTACAGTTACCAAGTCTGGTTAGTCATGGAAAGTCTTGGAAAATGAGAGAACTACACTCCTTTAGCATAAATAGGATTGCCCTTTCCTTAAAAGGGCAAGCAGACAATACAGTAAATCGACTATCACATACTTCCACATCTTTTCCAAGCTTCCAAGCATTGATCTTGTTACTCCTTGTTTCTGAAAAGTCAGTGAGGTGCTAACCTCTGACTTATCCCTGAGTTCTCAGACTCAACATTTGTTACAACTTGTCTAAACCACTCCACTACATCATACACCTGATTGCTGCGTTGTGGAATAGTCTAAGCTATGACCCTTTGGCTCTTTTTCCTAAGACAGTGTGTTGTCTTAGTAACTTGTAGGTGTTGGTAGCGGTCCGTGATAATAGAATAATATGATAATTATGGGCGTGTCAACCAGGTTCAGAACAGTGATCTATGAAAGCATATTTTTATTCATCTAGCCACTGTAACTACTTTTATATAGCAGAAAAACTCTTCTTCCGAGCTAGTCTCAGAGCAGTGGTGCCCAGTTTTATCTTCTGAGTTGGGTGATACTTGGCCCTGGGTTGGCGCTTGGCATCGCTGCCCCTTATCCTGGGCACGGAGTGAGAATTCCACAACTTGTCCCTGGCTGGCTCAAAATTTTGTCTCTTGCGAGGTCATCCCAAAGTTTTGGACAGCAGGGGGAGTCACTGAACTGGTGCATACGATGGAAACCATTCGTGGAGTTTGGCATGGGGTGGGAAGATGCAAGCAAGAGATTTCTGTTTTCATGGGGCTACTAATAAATGACATATTATATAGGCCTTACTGTTGCTTGCCAAACAAAAGGACTGACACCACGGAGACCCCTTCGACCCAGCAGCGATTGTCTTGGTGCTGAGAGGCTGCTGAGGCAGTTGCACTGTAACGGGTGCCGCCATTACAGTACATGTGGTATATAAAGCGTGTCATGCGTATTCCGGGCAAGCCAGAATACTGTAGTCTTTTTGGCTCAGTGGGATGTAGCGCGAAGCATAACCGTACATCGTTACAAGAGTATTCCGGCTCACCGGTCAATGGGTTTTGATTGGCTCGCTAGTTGGGTGGGCTAAGCGAGCAATCAGTGTAATTCCTTACCTGGCTGACAAGGGGGCGTCCTTGGGGGCTTAAGCAATTATATACACACCTTAGCATCCTGAGTAGTAACGGGCCTAAAGCAAGTACGAGATGATACGCTAGAAGCCTCTACATCCGTGCCGGGACGTCACGGACTAAAAGTTTCCTCCTTCATAGAAGCCATGGTTTTAGATAGCTATGAAACCGGTTGAGAGCTATCATTTCTGATTTAGGGTCTTTGTTCGCTCATCTGCTTTATTCCATCTTCTCCACAAGATCTTTCACAACCTTGTCAAAATCTTCCTGCTCCAGCCCTAGGAAATCATTTCCCATCACCTTTGCTTCGTAGTCTCCTCCGTCTCCCACCATGGACAGTGTTGCAAACAGCGAATTAACGTTCCCCATCTCATTTCCTTGCCGAATCGCTTCTTTCGCTGCATCGGCGGCTTTGTCGGGGGAATCGCTCTCAATGGCCCAGTCGGACTCTTTAGTGCCGGTCCCACTGAGGACGCTATCAAAGACATCACGCTGGCTCACGAGGAAAGAGCTGAAATACACAAAGTCGTTCTTGAAAGCGGAGAGTTTGGAGTCTGGCAAGCTGAGTAGCGGCGCGAGAAATTTACCCAATTTACTCAGTATAGAGGTATTGAATTTAACCCCATCAAGGAGCTTGGCTTTGCGTGTTTTAATATTGAGGCTCATGAAAGATTTCTCGAAGTTTCAGTCGAACCATGGACCGTTAACAATGCCGATCCAGCTGCTGACGCCTAAACTATCAATCTGGTCTCTATACTTGTTTTTCATGGCCATTAACCCAATCTACGTTTAACTTCTCATTTTTATTGTGGCATGCGTACTCGCATGGAATCACTCACGGTACACCAGCTTTCGCAGCGGATTTGGGAGTCGAGTGCCATGAACTCAAGTTGGAGGATCAGCACATCTTGCCCTCTGAGAGCTACGACAAGGAATTCTTCATCGTTGTAAGATCCTATCTTAACAGTGACGCCGGAAGGGAATGTTGCTGTTGATTCACTCCGCGAAATTGCTGTAACGGTGTGGATGCCATGGGAAAGGAGGGCTTCAACTGTTGGAGAGCCAACACTACCACTGCCTCCGACGATAGCAATCTTGCGGCTTTGCTTGTCTGCCATTTGGTCGAGTTTGTGAGTGTCTTTGGTAGTGAGATGTGATCCAGGATATTGTTGACTGTATTTTGCAATTGGGCAACTGTCCGTAGATGAAGCGTTTAAGTATCAGTTTTCTAATGTGAGGCTGGATATAAAATCTACTAATGCGTATGGATTATAAATCGTAACGCCGAAGTGCGAAGCATACCGAGCCAAAACTGACGTTCCCAAGATCCAGTTCTCCCAAGATCCAGTTCTCCCAAGATCCAGTTCTCGTATTCTCGTATAGGGATTGTGTTAACTCCGACTCGGCTTATGAAAGGACCAAGTGGAGTTCCGGCTCCCCCGAATACCAGTTAATTGGGACAACGACGTTGTGCATAAAATCGCCAGAGATAACGTAAGCTTATATACTGTTGGTCGATTTATCTTCCAGTTTATCTATCTCAGTATATATATTTATTCTATGTCTGTCTACTCCTCCCTACCTTACCCCGACCACACGGCCGGTCCCGTGTAAAGCGTAAGCCTAAGGTCTCACGGGAGTCCAGAGAACCAGGTCAGGAGGCAGGAAGGTATCATATTCTGTAAGCACAATAGGTCTACGTATACACAGCGACTATTGACTGGAGGCCTTCTTCCGAGGCCTCCAGCCCCTTTTATCCAGGCGCCTTGCGCCCTACTTTACTGAGCCCTACGGGCCCCACCAAAGGGGCCTCACGTGGTGACACGTGATGGCCTTCCTTACAATTACCCCCCCTCTTGGGGGAATTGCCCTCAATTCCGAGGTTTGCAGGTAGGCCTTGATTACCCTCCTGGCTTGTTTGGACTTTTTGTTTTGCCCCAGGTGGTGGGCTTGTTTGGGTGCGCGCTTGGTGGGCTGGTCCCGTGACCCCCCTTGTTGTGGGTTGCTGCGGCCACCCCCTTTGTTGTGGGTGTCGCGCCAAACTCCTACTTCCAAACTCCCTATCAAACTTCCTTCCACCTTCATCCTGAACGTCACCTTACTTCGCCTTTCGCGCTCGATCTTAGTCCCAACCTTTGATACCGTTGCTTGTTTCTTCAAGGTAATCACTTCCTTTCCACCTGGATTGCAGGAGCTTATCGTTACGGATAGATCTCACATCGTCCAACCCTCATCATGGCTCCCAAGCCGAAGGGGAAGGCTCTAGTTGCTACGCCTCGCAAGCGACCAGCGGCCCAGATGTCCGGCTCTCCTGAGTCGCAGGCGCCCGCCACGCCTGTTCCTTCTGGTGTCGCCTCCCCCACATCACGTTCTCGCACTGTCCGTCCGTATCGCTCGCCTGAAGTCGAGGGTGAAGCTGAGGAGCTCGAGGGCTCCGTCGTTCCTGAGTCTGAGGCTCCAAAGGGTGAGCGCACCGTGCTTGGGTGGAAGGTTGCTGCCCGCTGTGAGGTTCCCGATTCTGCGGGACGCCTTCGCGCTGGCTCCCGCCCGTGCTGCGTAAAGTGTGCGCACACGTATTACAACTTCCCGGGCCAGATGTGCTGGGTCCCTTCCGGCATGGCCAAATGCGCGGACTGCCTTCGGGGCAACCACGCGTGCGTTCCGGTAAGGGACTCCCTCCTCGTTGCTTGTTTGTACTAATGGTTGGGTAGGCTGCTGCCAAGCCAGCCGAGGATAAGGGAGTCGCTGGACCTCCTAAGGAGAAGGAAATCGCTGGGCTTTCTGAGGTCGTCGCGCGTAATGCTGACGATCCCCGCCAGGCTCTCCTACATCACGCCGAGAGCCTTGTGGAGCTGGGCAAGGCGAAGACTGAAGGTCTCAAGGCCGCCACTCAGGTCTTCCACGCTTCTGTCGACAAGGTCCTTGATGCCTACCAATCTGGGCTCGAGGAGTACGTCAACACCATGAAGTTCCTCGTAGGTACGTTGCCTCCTTTTCCTTTGGATACTTGCTGACCCCATGGGTAGGTGGAGCCCCGCACCTAGTGATGCCAGCCCCTCCCCTCATGCCCTCGCCAATCGATCTGGAGCGTGCTCTGTTGGAGCGCCGAAGTTCAACACTCCACCGCCAGCACCCCCAGGGCCTCCTTCAGTCCTGTCCTTGTCGTCTGGGGACGAGGGTGCGATCCCTGTTTCTTCATCATCCTCGTCTGAGTCCGAGTCCTCGTCGTCGTCCTCATCTGACGACCAGGGTTCTGATTGATCGTTCCCATAGTTTGTAGGGCCAATACCATTACGTTGTCCCATCCTTGCTTCCTTGTGCATGCTTCCTGTGATATGCCTCGATCAACGGTAGCCCTACGTCATGTTTTGGCACCCATTGGTCGTCTGCGGCTGTATAACCAGCCCATCTAATAAGGTACTCCTCTCTATGGCCCCTGCCTCGTTTGATTATCCTGTGGTCTAGGACCGCTTCTACTTGGTATTCTTCCTCACCGTCCACAATTTCTGGGCTAGGTGGAAGGTTGGGTTCCTCTGTGTTTTTCCAATACCTTTCTAGTAAGGACACGTGGAACACGTTGTGGATCGCCTTATACCTTGGCGGTAGCTTCAACTGGTAAGCCTGCTTACCGATGCGCTGGGTGATCTCATACGGGCCAAGCCAGCGGTGCCCAAGCTTCCTACTTGGCTGGGTGGTTCTGATATTCTTGGCCGAAAGCCATACTTTCTCTCCTACCGCGTACTGCATTGGCTTGTGCAGCTTGTTGTAGCCTCGTATTTGGGCTTCCTTCGTCTGTTTCCACGCCTCTTCGAGCTCCTGTCGCAATTCTAGGATCAGGTTGATGCGATCTTTCGCGACTGGCACTTCCCTTCTGGTGGGGTCGTCCTCGATCCCTTGTCTTAGGTCTATATTGATGCCGTATCGGGCCTGGTTTGGCGACATCTGGATGGAATCGTGGAAGGCGTTATTGTAGGTCAATTCCGCGAAGTGGAGGAGTTCCACCCAGTTGTCTTGGTGCTGATTACAGTGGATCCGCAAGTAGGCTTCGATATTCTGATTCTGCCTCTCGGTCTGGCCGTCGGATTGAGGGTGGAAAGAGGTCGATAGGTTACGCCTTACTTTGAGGTGAAAACAGAACGCTGACCAGAAGTGACAGGTGAACACACTCCCTCGATCCGTGATTATTTCGGCTGGGATTCCAAAGTCCTTTACCCAGAACGCAAGGAAGAGGCGCGACAGCTCTGGGGCCGTGATGGTTTTCCTACAGGGTATATATTTGGACACCTTAGTATAACGATCAACAATCACAAGGATGGAGTCTGAAGCCTTGCCTTGATCCACCCCTACGCTTGGGGGCAGATCCGTGATAAAGTCCATACTTATGGATTCAAATGGTTTCGAGGGCATTCTTAAGGCCTGCATTTCGCCATATGGCCTATGCCGCACGGGCTTGATGCGCTGGCATCTATCGCAGCCCCGTACGTACTCCCTGGTTTCCTCGCTGAGGCCAGGCCAGTAGTATTTGCGTTGGATCAACTCTTGGGTTTTCTTATATCCAAAATGCCCAGCTAGTGGGTCGTCATGGCAAATCTTGAAAATTTCCATCCGCACTGCCTGGTTGGGAGGTACATATACCGCTCCCTTGAAGCGTAGGATGCCTGCATCGTCTACTCTCCAATCTGAAGAGCCCTTTGCTCGCGCCAACCCAATATCCTTGGCCCTTTTAACAGCTAACTCGTCAGTCGCCTGGAGGGTTTTGATCAAGTCTATTAGGGGTTCAGACGCAGCACTATAGGCGCTCTCCCTTGGCTACAGCAGCTACTGCAACCCGAGGGACAACGAGACCTGGACTCTTGGTGTTCTTACTATGGTCATCGCCCAGTCTTACGCTGCTAGCGTTTGCCTTCCTACGCTGTAGGTTAGGTTCTCCTATCTGAAAGCCTTCTTGGCTTGTTATCGTCCGACTTATCTGCGGGATACCTCCTGCCTGCATGGCTTCACGTAGCTTGTTCTTAAGGGTCGGTAGCATCACATTCTGGCTACCCTTTTCACCCTCATAGTCTGGTCTCCTAGATGGACCGTCTGCTGGGTTTGTTTTTCCCGCTCGATAGGAGATGTGGAAATCATAGGCTGATAACGCCTGCGCCCACCGCGCTTGCCTCCTTGTGAGGGCGGTGGTTTCCATAAAATACTTCAGATTGTTGTGATCTTTTAGGACCTCAATTGGGTACTGGCTTCCTTCGAGGTAGTGTCTCCACTGCTCGAAGGACTTCACGATCGCCAGGAGTTCCTGGTCGTGGACTTCATAGTTCAGCTCTGCTGGATCTAGCTTTTTGCTGAAAAAGGCAACTGGGTGCCATTCGCCCTTCTCTTCTGGCTTAGTTCCTTCCACTAATTGGGACAGGTTCGCAGCGAGCGCAAAGCCTGACGAGTCCGTCTCGAGCCTGATTCTACGGCATGGGTCGAAATGGACCAGTGTGGGGGCTGTAGTGAAGGCCTTCTTCAACTGGCCGAAGGCGCTTTGCTGTTCCTCCCCCCACACGAACGGGCCTGTCTGCTTGCCTGCCTTTGCCCCTTTCATAAGGCCTGTCATTGGGGCCACCACGGAGGAGTATTGCTTTACAAAGCGCCGGTAAAAGTTGGCAAAGCCGAGGAACACCTGGACCTCTCGATGGGTCCTAGGTATTGGCCAATCGGCGATTGCAGCAACCCGGTCGCTTTCCATAGCCACCCCTTCCGTCGTGACAATATACCCAAGGAAGCTTACCTTCTTGGCATTGAACTCGCACTTTGAGAGCTTCACGTATAGGTTCGCCTCGCGTAGGCGTCCTAGGACCTCTCGTACGTGGTCAGCGTGTTCCTCCTCCTTCTGGGAGTAGATGAGGATATCATCAAGATATACGACACATATGGTGTCAACCAACCCTTGTAGGGTCTCATTCATGTACGCTTGGAACGTTGCAGGTGCGTTAGCCAATCCAAAAGGCATCACCCTGTACTCGAAGTGTCCGTATCGAGTACGGAACGCTGTCTTCCACTCGTCGCCTGGGCGAATACGGATGCGGTGTAACGCTGACTTCTAAATGATAGAAGACACAGAGGTTCTCTTGCGTAAAGGTTTACTTATCAGAGGAGGCAGGGGATCAGACACAAAGGCTTCAAGTAACACGTTACTAGTATATAACAAATACTGTATTGAGTTGAGCACGAAGCTCCTATCTAAGGAAATACTATCTACTTATATAGTGGCGTCGTGCCTAGTGGACTCCTGGGAACTCACTCGAGTCCTCGGAGTCCTGGACTCTTAGGACTCTTCTCATCATCCTGCGAGTCCATCACGTGCCTAGTGGACTCCTGGGAACTCACTCGAGTCCTCGGAGTCCTGGACTCTTAGGACTCTTCTCATCATCCTGCGAGTCCGTCACGTGATACTTTCGGAACTACTATTCCCCGCTGCCCCTCCAGGTACCAGGGCCGGTCTCATGCGACCTCCCTCCTTCCTGTCCTGTAGTTGGCCAGCCTTCTTGTTCCGTCGTAACATGCGGTGGTAGGCGTTCCTAATATCAAGCTTTGTGAAGCACCTCGACCCTTGGAGCCGATCCAAGGTCTCCGTGATCAGTGGCAGCGGGTGTCGATTCTTCACGGTAATCTTATTCAAGCCTCTGTAGTCTACACAGAGGCGTAGGCTTCCGTCCTTCTTCTGAACGAATAGGATGGGCGCGCCTGCAGGGCTTACGCTCCTTCGGATCCAACCCTTCTTCTCGCTCTCGTCGAGGTATTTACGGAGCGTGGCCAGCTCCGTTTCCGATAGGTTATATACTGGCCCATACGGTGGTTCCTGGGGCCCAGTATCGATGGCATGGGTTTTCCTTCCCAGCTCTGGCAGTTCTTCTGCCTTTTCCTCTGAGAAGACGTCGATATAGTCCTCGTATTCCTTCGGGCATTGGGTAGGTGTGCTATCGTCTGTGTTTAAGGCCAAGACGAAGGCAGTATCACCTTCCTCCCATTCTTCAATATCCGCCACCTCGGCTCTCGCAATATCGAAGGGCTGGCGCCAGGTCTGTTTGCGCCAGTCGATCTGGGGGTTGACCTGTGTCATCCAATCCATCCCAAGCGTCATCCAATCCATCCCAAGGATGACGTCTACTCCTGGGGTGTCCATGGAAAGGAGGGTCTGGGCGACCACGCATTCCCTTTGAAAGTGGTCCCTAGCTCGGACCTGGGTGGTGGCCGCTTCATATATCACAACCTCTTTTCCATCGACTGCCCTTGCCCGTGGCGGTGCCCTATCCCGGCACTCCAAACCCTTCTCTTTGGCAAACAGAGGGTGGATGGTGGACACGTCAGATCCTGAGTCGAGGAGGGCTCTTGCCTTGTGCCATCCGGGCCCTACCTGCACCTCTACCTCAATCTCCATTCGACGCTGCGCCGTAGGCTTCTGGGATTCTGCTGGGAGTCACTCCCTCTTGGGGGTGTAGGCGTCCAATTTCCTCACCCCTGGGCCTGTGTGTTGGCGTGGGCCTCGACATTCCTTCGCGAGGTGGCCCGCCTTGCCACAGTTATAACAATTGATTCCGCTAGGGATTGGCCTAGCGTCCCTACTGTGGGTAGGGGCCTGTCCTCTCACCGGCCGCTGGTCTTGTGGGCGGTGTCTATTCCAGAAGGGTGTTCTTTCTCCTTGGGCCGAGGGCTGGGGAGCCCTGTGGCTGCCAGAGTTGCCCTTTCGGAATGGAAAGCTGCCCTGGGAGGTATTCCTTCTGGTTTGTCATTTCTAACATCGCCAGGATATTAACGATAGCGTCCCTGTGGGTAGAGGAACGCTCTGCGTACCCTCCTTCAAGGAGCCGCTGCCTCATCTCTGGGTGAATCTTCATCAGAAGGTGGACAGTCTTCTGCGATTCAGTATACGGTTCCATCTCGCGTTCGAGGTCCTCAAGGTAGGCCACGAACTTGCGGATGCTCTGCCCTTTCCGTTGTAGGGCGACGTTATACTTCAAGGCCGCGATGCGTTGTCGGTTGGCTGGGTGTCATACTGACATTCGTTGCACTCAGTTTGCTATCAAACTCAAGAGCAAACTTAGAAATCTCCTCCTCAAACCTACAAGTCACCATACATATCTTGGCTTATCACACCAACAACAGAAGCAATACTACTCAACGATTGCTGCAAACTCTTCTACTACATCTGTTTATGCTACATACATCACGGCATATCATTTGGACACTCATTGAACAAGTTATTAAGAAAATCTCCTCCTTAAGGGGGTGGGCCAATACTACCACATGGCATATCTCTACCAACTAGAGGCCTAGGAACATGAACGATAGCTCTAGAAGCTTCTACAACCCTCTATGATTCATTACACGTCATCGCTCCTTAGTTACCCACAAGATTGGTTAAGTTATGACATAATTTGTCTATAGGTACTCTGACCTTGGACCTCCTTTTCACTTCCTATAGGCTAGGAACCCAAGAGATGGTTCTATGGGATTCTCTTACGTTCACTACATGATTAGCAAGCTAGTTGTGGGTCTCACTTGATTTCTAATACATTTACCAAGCCTGGTTAGTCATGGAAAGTCATGGAAAATAAGAGAACTACACTCCTTTGGCATAAATAGGATTGCCCTTTCCTTAAGAAAGGGCAAGCAGGCAATACAGTAAATCGACTAGCACATACTTCTACGTCTTTTCCAAGCTTCCAAGCATTGATCTTGTTATTCTCTGTTTTTGAAAAGTCAGTGAGGTGCTAACCTCTGACTTACCCCTGAGTTCTCAGACTCAACATTTGTTGCAACTTGTCTAAACCACTTCACCACATCATACACCTGATTGCTGCGTTGTGGAATAGTCTAAGCTACAACCCTTTGGCTCTGTTTCCTAAGACAGTGTGTTGTCTTAGTAAATTCATCCCTTCCTTGGGTGGCTAGATTCTCATATCTGGTGCACCCACCATTACACTGGGTCGACATGGAGGTCCCGAAGAAACTCTTCGAACCCAGCGATATCCAAGGGATCTATGTATCCTTCTCCTTGGGTTGCGCACCGGTTATCCCATTCCTTCATAGGGTGTCCTTCCAAGTATTTGGCAGCGAAGGCCACCTTAGATTGCTCGGTTGGAAAAACCCTTGGTTGGTATCGGAAGGTAGCGCGGATCGAGGCCATGAACTCGTTGAGCTCTCGGATGGATTCGCCCTTATATACCTTAGGTTCCTTGACCCTTCCTATTGGCCTCTGGGCTGGTGTGACCTCCATTGATACGGTAGAGGCAGTCTCTGCCTCCTCCTCTTGTTGGGGTCCTTCCCACTCGTCCTTGATATCTTGGTGTCGCCTTTTCCGACGGTTCTCTTCCTGAATCCGGGCTTGCTTCTTCGCGAAGTCCCGTACCGCCTCAGGGTAGGCGTTGTAGTCGTCGCCGTGCATTCTTCGTAAAAGCTCTAGGGCTTCCTCCATCGTGTTGATGTAGGCCCTCTCTTCGTCCATCCGCTTCCGAAGGTCTGCCAGCTTCGAAGCCATGCTCTCATCCTGGCCTGCCGTCGAATGGCTAGCTTCTACGGACGTAGTTCTTGGAGCTGGCTCAGTGGCGTCAGTTGCTGGCGTTGCTCCTCCAGAAGTCGCACGCGTAATCCTTCTTTCCATACTCGCCATCCTGACCCAGTAGGCTGGATATGGGTGCAGTCAATAGAATTGTAAAGCGTAAGCCTAAGGTCTCACGGGAGTCCAGGGAACCAGGTCAGGAGGCAGGAAGGTATCGTATTCTGTAAGCACAATAGGTCTACGTATACACAGCGACTATTGACTGGAGGCCTTCTTCCGAGGCCTCCAGCCCCTTTTATCCAGGCGCCTTGCGCCCTACTTTACCGAGCCCTACGGGCCCCACCAAAGGGGCCTCACGTGGTGACACGTGATGGCCTTCCTTACATCCCGGCGGAGTATAACTTGTGGGCTACACGATTGTTAGTTCACCATCCCCTCACCCCAAAGAATAGAGACTTACAACAGGGTAGTTGATATTGATGAGGATTCCTGGGTCTGATGCGGAATACGCTCCTGGGAATGCAATAAGTGGACCTGGTGTGCCACTTCCACCGCCGGTGACGGTGATCTGCACGCATGAGAGGTAGAACTGTGCGGCTCCAGAACTTTGGGCAACGTGGAGGCCGATACGCTCCACGCGGAGCAGGTAATCGCCGTTAGGTGTTGCTGCTAGAATAGTAAAGCCCGCAGTTGAAGCCGCTATTTAGAAGAACTATTAGCAAAACGGACAAGCCACTGACAAAACAATCAATGGGCCACTTACAGTTTGGGCCAGACGAGTTAGGTACCAAGTCCCGACGGTCCATTCTCGTCGCCACTTCCATCCCACGTTGCGGCGGTTTGTCCAAACGGAACCTTCGCCAAATATGCCAGTACTGGACCAGGGTGGTAGATGTTGGAGCTGGCAGTGAAGCCGATTTCAGAGCCTGCGGCAACCGATAGAGTGCTGGCGGAGTTCGTCGAACCGTCTACATTGCAACGAACGTTGAGAGAGGATACGTCTTGGACGGGATTGTATGTGTACGAACCAGTCCAGTCACGTACGTACTCCCAGTCCGCAGACGTCGTCCCTACGGATATGAGGGCGGGGAAGGTGTAATGCGCAGAAGCTGCACCAGCAAGTTCGAGAAGAACAACTGACTTCATGATGGATTACTGGATTTGAAATGAGAATGATGGGGAGCTGAACACATTAAGAAGGAGATCATCCTTCTCTTATACAGCAATATGCCTGCTTGGCATAGGATCGATGTCGGGAACACGGGAAGCATATAGATGGAATATATGATAATTTGCATTTATCTTCAATATAACTTCCTATGGCCTGGCATATTGACTTCCTGTTACATCTATCGATGGCGTCGGTGTCCCAGTGACACATAAGTGAGAAAGTAGAGAAACACCAAGCCTTCCATCGGCACTTCTCTAGGCTGACATACCCAATGGCAGCAGTCTTCAATATATAAACGTGAGCAGATTATTCAAAATCACGTCTTTCGGTGTCCACTTACCCAGAGTTGTCAATATATCTGAAATCCGGTTAAAGATAACCAGGGCACGCCTATTGCCTTTAGCCATCCATATATCCGTGTTGAGTTGCGCCCACCCGAATTTTACACATTATGCCGGACCCAAAGCGCCAGGATTTATTTATGATGCCGTCTTTGGTTAGTAATAAAGGTCGTGCTGGGAAGGAGGGAAAGAGCCGAAAAGCTTGTTTTGTGTCTTTCAGCCAAAAAACTGCCTGTCCGATGGGAATCACTAGGATTGGAGAGGCATCGAAATGAGTGCAGTAACTGAAAAGGCTGCAAGAGGCGCTGGGAATTGTCCCCAAAAACTTCTCGGCCAGTTCTCCGTGAGCTCCTTGTGCACAAGAAAGCCTCACATAGCAATATCTAGGGCTGGGAGCTGTAAATTGAAAATTGTTGAACAGACACTTTCGTCACACATCTATTCGCCAGTATCCAAGAAGCTTTAACACCTGTTGAGTTGCTATATTTATATGGGCGCCTCATGGTGGCGAAATCGGATTCCTTGGAGAGATAATTATACAGCTCGTAATAGATCCTAGCTGTATTTATATGGGCGCCTCATGGTGGCGGAAACCGGATTCCTTGGAGGAGATAATTATACAGCTCGTAATTTTGTAATATCTAAATCCGGCTCACTACTCATATACACGCACCTGTCCTTTATAGCTTCGACTTCGGCTTCTCACTCTTTAGCATCTGCTCTGCCACAATTCTGCGCTGGATCTTTCCAGTAGCCGTTTTCGGCATCACCTCCGTAAAGTACACTTTCTTGGGTATCTTGAACTTCGCCAGCTTCTCGCTGACCCACCCCCTAAGTTCATCCTCCCCGAGCTTCTGTCCCGGCTTGAGAACGATCGCTACGCCAATATCCTGGCCATACAGCTCATCGGGGATGGCAAAGCTGACAGCTTCGCTCACAGCCGGGTGGCGAGCCAACACATTGTCCAACTCAATAGGGCTGATCTTCTCACCACCCTTGTTGATGAGCTCCTTGATACGGCCGGTAATAAACACATATCCATCCTTATCCAGCTTTCCTTGGTCGCCGGTGCGGAAGAAGCCGTCCTTGGTGAAGCTGCTCTCGTTGGCAGCAGGGTTGTTCAGGTAACCCTTCGTCACATTCTCACCGCGGATGCAGATCTCGGCCTCGGCGCCCTGGGGAACCTCCTTGCCGGCTTGATCCAGGATTCTGATCTCGACGCCTTGGCCGATGCCGACGCTGCCGGGTTGACGCTTTCCAGGTGGGAGAGGGCTGGATGTCATTTGATGGGCGGCTTCAGTCATGGCATATGCCTCGAGAACAGGGGCATTGTACTGCTCCTCAAGCTGGTGGAAGGTTGTTGGCGAAAGAGGCGACGAGCAAGAGCGAATGAATCGAATGTTGGGCTTGGTGGACGGAGGAGGGTTTCTGAGGAGAATCTGGTGGATGGTGGGCACAGCAGTGTACCAGTTGGCTTTATGCGTGATGAAATCCTCCCAGAAGGTAGTGGCGCTGAACTTGGCAGGGACAACGACAGAGCCTCCGGAAAGAAGAGGGGCGAGGAGCCCGGCGAGAAGGCCGTGGACGTGGAAAAGAGGCATGACAAGCATGGTTCGGTCAGCAGGGCTCAACTCATATGTTGCCTGGATGTTCTCTGTCAATTGTTAGCAATTGAGAATCTCCCACTAGCCACTAGCGGGCTTGCATACTCATTGTCCTCGTCAAATTCCTGTGTGTCAAGGGTACCTGCGTCATGTCAGTCACTGTCATGTCCTATGTTGAACAACTGCATACAGCCTTTGGTCGCCCAGTGGTCCCGCTGGTGTGAAGCACCAAAGCAACGTCGTCTGGCTGTGCCTTCTCGACATTTTGTCCGCCTTTGCCCTTCAGCTTCCCTTGGTCTTTCACATCTAACACCACCTCCCGTTTGTTCCCATCCCAATAGCACTCAGCAATCGCAGCCTGGTATTTTCTCGCCCCTCTCACAGCGGGTCCATCCTTTGCGAACTCGCCCTTTGGCACCAGTGCCAGGGCGGACTTCAGGTCATCGATGTAGAACTCAAACTCCTCCTGCTTGTACGCCGAGTTGAGGGGAGCCGCGATGGCACGCTGCCACGAAGAGGCGAGGAACGAAACAATGAATTCGATAGTATTCGGGAGGGCAATTGAGACCGCGGACTGAGGAGTAATCCCTAACTGAGCGAGCCTGGATTGGAACGACGAAACGAGGCGAGTGAGCTCCCCATAGGATATCGTGAGGGGCGTGGGCCCTGGGATGATTACCGCCGTGGCATTATCGGATTTTGGGAAAGAGTTGGAGAGAGTTGTGCCAGACATCTTGTATATATACAGTTGCACTTTTACTTAAACAGCTTCAAGAGCACACGACGTCGTGGAATACCTATCCGATCCGAATAAACCCCAGCAGCGGGCACTTATCGCCGAGACTAAGACGCCAAATTTGTGGAGCCGAGGCGAAACCTCAAGGTTCCGGTTTTATGATGATCAAGTGAGACATCTCGAGTACGATGGCCCGGAGTGCAATTAATTTTTATTTGACAGAATATTATACAGTGTATGGCGAGAGGGAAACTCAAACCACTGCCCATTAATAGCAGTAGGCCCATTCTTATCAGGATCCTTACCCGGCCGTGGACAATAATCTGATCAGCATAACATATACACAAATGGCCGTCTCCATAATAGTTTACACTTCCTCATCTCAGGTGCCCATATATCTGCCTCTGAATTCCCACTATTCGACCATCTCAACCCAGCGCTACCGTGGCATGTCGTATATTGTATATGCTGTACCGTCGGCCGGCGTTCCAAGCGCTCAAACGACGTGCTCTGGAACCATAATGTTTCTTTATTGGCGACCGAACTGCAAAGCATCAGATATGGGTTCACTTGACATTGATGTCAAGTACTCTCTACTGCAACTAAACATCACGCCCTTATCTGCCCCTTCCTATGTCGTTCCCGTTGATCGAGCATCTGGCCTTCGGTTTCTGGCCCGTGGAATCTGGTTGCATAGAGGCTTGTTGACTCTCACAAACATATTGTAAGCCTGGGTGTGAAGTGGTATGCGCATATCCCTTTCTAGAAGTTTATCCATTCTTATGCATCGATATTCATGACGCTTCGAAGAGGTAGCCCAAGCCGCACATTGACATAATACCATCTTCCGGAGGAATCATGTAGATCTTTGTGATTGCATAGAGTCCGAGTAGAACGAGTGGTTCGAGAGCTGTGAGAGCGTAGCTGAAGTTCACCAATGTGGTTATGAAGATAAGGAGGTTGAGAATGAGGGATCCGAAGTTGCTGAGTGCCATGGACGGACGCTGAAGCGCAAGAACTGTATTAATAAGACTCCGCAGCCGGTTTCCCTGGTATATAGGGATAAATGAGCTATTGACGACCCCAGAGGCAGCCCAGATGCAGGTTTCGGATCTTGGAGGTGGAATTGAAATGAGTTATTACAGTACGTGTAGATCCAACGTTAGGCCAGAAATGACAGCGGTGACCGACGGCAAATAAACGATCGCCCGCAACAACTCTCCCAGAACCTCAAAACGTTTTGGAGATTTTATGTATGCGAATAACATTTAACTGTATGACCTATTAATTCCGTTTGACCTGGTTTTGCACTGTGCATATTGTATCTCTTGCTTTTCATGCCTGTCCTGTTATAAACATCTCACGCCCCTCTTGCCAGCAGTGATAGAGAGTCTTCCCTGGACGAGGGGTCACAATGAGGAGGTGTCGATATGCCCGACGTTTTTTTAAAACTTGAGAGTCTCAAGTTATCATGTTCAGAAGAAAGGATAAAGCTTCTCGTCACATCCTCGGCCACCCTCCGGGCTCAAGATGAGCGATTTCGTCGGGTGCTTTCTGGTGAGCTCCTAAACTTGATGGAGAGTGGGAAGGTCTGTATCAGCCGTGGACCAGGCTGCGACCTTGGATTCGGGTTTTCATTCAAGAACTTACAATCAAATGGGCCTGCTGAGAAAGCTCTGGTTGAAGAGCTTGGCCGATTTGTTCTTGGAGCACCCGTGAGTTTAGCGTGCATCGTGACTCTCATATTTGTTTCCGTTTCACTGAAGTCTAGCATAGTGGTGGGAACAACTCCCAGTTTCTCCTTCTCTCAACTCTCCTTCTTCAAGTTGCCCTGATGTGGGACCAACGTTTTCTATCAAGTTACATGACACTTTACCAAGTCTACATTCAAATGGGCATCCAAATCCAGAAGAGTCTCCAATCGCCGATCTACATGTCCCGGAATGCGTTCCAGACATGAGGCTTGTGGGAATCAAGTTCTTCTTTACCTTTGAGCCTACACGCGATACTCCACTGCCAATACTCATAAAGCAAACTGCAACAGAAGATGACATGCTTTTCGAAGATGGCTGCGAGAGTGATCCAGACCTCTTTGAAGATATTATGGACTTGGAAGTATTTGATTCTTCAACGCCTCGCCACGAAGCTCTATTTGATACCAGCTCCGTGTTGGATGGCATGACATGGGAGGATCACAGTTTTGTCGAAGACCAATACTATGCTGATGGATGCGATAATATGTTGCTATACCGAACTGATCACAGCAGTGTTCATCTGCCAACTCCCGAAGCATCTATGACTTTCAATAGCCAACAGGACACAAGCATGCTTGATTCCATGGAACCCCATTCTTTGAACAACCTCACTACCAAACCCTCGCTAAAGTTGACAACAGCAAAACAACTCACTGATGTGGCACTCAGAACATTGTTCGGTGGTCGGCAGACAAAATTTACGCCCAGTATCAAGGTCCGCAAACCACGTCCGAAACGCCCTCTATCGAGCATTATGCCTCTGTTATGGAGTCCAAGTTTCAAAAATGTATGTCTGCCTGCATCCCACCGAATTGATGAAGCTGACATATACATCAGGCCATGTCCGAACGCTCTGCCTTCCTAAACACCATCTCCAGCATCCTCTCCTCCCTCCCTAAAACTAGCCAACTCCCAAGCCTCCAAAAGAAACTTTCCATAATCCACGAAAACCCCCCAGCCAGGTCCGCCGAAACCCGCCCTCCGCGGCTGAGCGAAACGATCCAAGCCCATGTGTTCCGAATGATGCAGACCACCCTCTACGAACCGATCGCAAGCCGTCGTCTTCGACCCAGTGTTATTGAGGAAAGTGGGGAGGAGGAAGCGAGAAGCGGGCTGCCTAGTCGGGATTGTGAGAATAGTGGATCGGCGCAAGTTGACATTGGAAATACGTCGGACGATGTGGTGGATGTGGTGGATGCGGATGAGGGATTTGAGGATTTGTTTGGCGAAGAGCTGTTGTCGGATGGGGAGATGGATATGCTCTTTGATCTTGAGATTCTGCGGAACCGCGGAGAGAGGGGGAGTTGCAGCATGCTTTTTGGGAGTGGAGAGGGGGACTCCAGTATGCTTATGGTGGGCGAGGAAGTGCACGAAGATGCAACCCGAGAAATTGGAGAAGAGGACAGCATACTTTCAACTGAACAGGACCAACGGAACGATGGTGGCGAGCATATCTTATACGAGCGCGAATTCTGGGACTCAAGCATTGTGGTGGAAGAGCTGGAGGAAGATGCACGGATGATAATGGACACCGAACCTGGCACGGTCCATGGCTATAGCTCAATGTATTTAGACGATCCGTATATAAATAATGAAGCAATCCTCATTTGACAACCCGGACCCCTATTCATCACTTCATCATTGGAGAGCCAGTCCGCGAGTGGTTTCAGCAGATCCACAGCCTCATTGCTCAGCTTGGTCTGCTAAAGATGTGATGTTCCCAGCCCTGGTATAGATTCCGGAGAACTGTTGAGATGTCCGCGTAAATTTCGTAGTATCTCGGATCGAGGTGGGATGTTCGAAACGTAACCCCACTATTGGTTTCCGTTGTGGTAGTCCACGGTTTCCAGCCAAGGTCACAAGTGCAGTTGTAAAACTCGACTTATGGGCATGAGTGGATGTTTCTTTTGCGCAATACAGTATTATCTCGTTAAGTCGATGTAATTGGTCATATATAAATATATCGAGTTATAGTAATATCGAGTTAGAAAGTGATCCGAAGTAGACCCGAAGTAGCCCCTTAGCTAAACCATCCATCCATCCAACGTGCCTTAAACCAAGTCATTGGCCTGTTTGGCCACTAATTGCCTCTCCACGCGCTCTAAAGAGCGCAAACGTGATGCCACTATTCTCAGATTCTGAGAACTTAATCAAAACTTAGAGGGCTTGTATGGCGTTCTGTATAGGAGCACAGGATGCTAGGGCTCCTCATTGTCATCATCAAGAGGTGGAGGGAGGCTTAGATGAGGACGCAATTCTATAGAGGGCGATGGCTCTATATATACAGGTTTCCGATTGGGTTGGCAAACGCGTCAGCAACATTCCAGGCGTACATGAATGAGACCCTACAAGGGCTCATGGACACCATCTGTGTGGTGTACCTTGACGATATCCTCATTTACTCCCAGGATGAGGAGGGACATGCCAACCATGTACGAGAGGTCCTAGGACGCTTACGCGAGGCGAACCTATATGTGAAGCTCTCAAAGTGCGAGTTCAATGCCAAGAAGGTAAGTTTCCTTGGGTACATTGTCACTACGGAAGGAGTAGCCATGGAAAGCGACCGTGTAGTTGCAATCGCTGAATGGCCAGTATTAAGACCTATCGAGAAGTCTAGGTATTCCTTGGCTTTGTGAATTTCTATTGGCGCTTTGTGAAGAAATACTCTTCCGTGGTGGCAATAGTGAAGTCCTTCGAACAATGGAGGCACTACTTCGCGGGAAGTCGGTACCCAATCGAGGTCCTTACAGACCACAATAATCTGAAGTATTTCATGGAAACCACTGCCCTTACAAGAAGGCAAGCACGGTGGGCGCAGGCATTGTCTGCGTATGATTTCCATATTGTGTACCGGGCTGGAAAGACGAACCCAGCCGATGGCCCTTCAAGGAGACCAGACTATGAGGTCGTGAAGGACAGTCAGAACGTCATGTTACCAACCTTTAAAGATAAGCTCCAAAGAGCCATGCAAGCAGGAGGTGTCCTACCAATGGACATGGCAATGGTAAGCGCAGAAGGCGCCAGACCAGATGAGAACCAAAATAAGGACACCAAGAGTCCAGGTTTCGTTGTCCCTAGAGTTGCGGTGACAGCCATAACTCAGGGAGAGAGCGCCTATGGAGCTGCAACGGGCCCACTGATGGACTTGATTAAAACCCTTCAGGTGACTGACGAGTTAGCTGTTAAATGGGCCAAGGACGCTGGGACGGTGCAAGCAAAGGGCTCTCCAGGTTGGAAGGTAGACGATGCAGGCATCCTATGCTTCAAGGGAGCGGTATACGTACCTCCCAATCAGGCAGTGAGGATGGAAATCTTCAAGATTTGCCATGACGACCCACTGGCCGGGCACTTCGGGTATAAGAAAACCCAAGAGTTGATCCAACGCAAATACTACTGGCCTGGGCTCACCAAAGAGACCCAGAAGTACGTACAAGGCTGTGATAGATGCAAACGCATCAAGCCTGTAAGGCATAGGCCGTATGGTGAAATGCAGGCTTTAAAGATGCCCTCAAAGCCATTCGAGTCCATAAGTATGGACTTTATCACAGATCTGCCCCCAAGTGTAGGAGCAGATCAAGGCAAGGCCTCAAACTCCATCCTTGTGATTGTTGATCGTTATACTAAGGTGTCCAAATATATCCCATGTAGGAAAACCATCATGGCCCCAGAGCTGTCGCATGTCTTCTTTGAGGCCTGGGTGAAGGACTTTGGGATTCCAGCCGAAATAATCTCAGATTGAGGAAGCGTATTCACCTGCCACTTTTGGTCAGCGTTCTGTTTCTACCTCAAAGTAAGGCGCAACCTATCGACAGCCTTCCACCCTCAATTGGACGGTCAAACTGAGAGGCAGAATCAAAATATTGAGGCCTACCTGCGGCTGCACTGCAATCAGCACCAGGACAATTGGATGGAACTCCTCCACTTTGCGGAACTGACCTACAATAACGCATTCCATGAATCCATCAAAAATGTCGCCCAACAAGGCCAGGTATGGCATCAATATTGACCTGCATCAAGGGGTCGAGGATGACCCCACGAGAAGGGAAGTGCCAGTCGCAAAGGACTGAGTAAACATGATCCTTGAGCTGTGCCAAAACCTGGAGGAGGCATAGAAACAGATGAAGGAAGCCCAAGTAAGGGGCTACAACAAGCTGCACAAACCAATGAAGTACGTAGTAGGAGAGAAGGTGTGGCTCTCGGCCAAGAATATCCGAACCACCCAGCCGAGCAAGAAGCTAGGGCACCACTGGCTCGGACCATATAAAATCACCCAGCGGGTTGGAAAACAGGCGTACAGGTTGGAGCTACCACCTAGGTGTAAGGACAGTTCGAACTGAGGCTGACCTTCAAGTCTGCAGAAGTATCCGAAGTATAATGTGAAGACTTCGATACTCGAAGCAGTAGGACAAGGTATAGTAGTTCAGGCTCCAAAGCATATACTTTATACCACAGGGGTCAAGTGGTGAGACTAACAGGTTGGCCAAGTGGTTCGACTCGAAGTAAGGGAATGCAAAGTAAGTCGAAGCAGGAGGAATTGCAAGAAGGCCAAGTAGTATATAATTTGCTAGCTAAAGATCAATAAGAGACATGAGCAATAAGTGCTTATATAACAGTAAAAATCCGTAGTGCCAAATAAGCGAAGGAACTAATTAACCGAACCCTAGCTAAGCGAGCCCTAGTGCAGCAAGCCAATAACAAGAGAGCCTAAGCCAGTAGTCAACATTTGGGCTGATCTAGGTCAGCAAGTGAAGCGAAGTGAGCAAAGTGAGCGAAGCAGGTGAAGTGAATGACATAGTGAAATAAGTACTAGAGACTAAAGCGAATCGAAGGGTCGTGACACAAATATCGAAGGAGTGTCATGATACTAGGTACAAGGCAATCCACGATATATTCCAAGTGTCCCTGTTGGAAAGACATTGGGTAAACACAGACAAGCCTGACCCTCAGCCTAGTCCAGAGATTGTAGATGGCGAGGAAGAATACCAAGTAGAAGCGGTCCTAGACCACAGGGTAATCAAACGAGGAAAGTGCCAAAGGGAAGAATACCTGATCTGGTGGAAAGGGTATACTGAGGCAGACGATCAATGGGTGCCAAAACATGACGTAGGGCTACCATTAATCGAGGCATATCACAGGAAGCATACACAAGGAAGCAAGGATGGGACAATGTAATGGTATTAACCCTACAAACTGTGGGAATGATCTATCAGAACCCTAGTCTCAGATGAGGGCGATGACAAGGACTTGGACTCAGACGAGGACGACGAAGAAACAGGGATCACACCCTCATCCCTAGACGACAAGGACTGGACTGAAGGAGGCCCTGGGGTGCTGGCGGTGGGGTGTTGAACTTCCACTTGCCACGTGTCATACTGACATTCGTTGCACTCAGTTTGCTATCAAACTCAAGAGCAAACTTGGAAATCTCCTCGTCAAACCTACAAGTCACTATACATATTTTGGCTTATCACACCAACAACAAGAGCAATACTACTCAACGATTGCTACAACCATCTATAATTCATTACACGTCATCGCTCCTTAGTTACTGGGCCGATATTACCACATAGCATATCTCTACAACCCTCTATGATTCATTACATGACATCACTCATACTACCACATGACATATCTCTACCAACTAGAGGCCTAGGAGCATGAACAATAGCTCTAAAAGCTCCTACGAACCTCTATGATTCATTACATGTCATCGCTCTTTAGTTACCCACAAGATTGGTTAAGTTATGATATAATTTGTCTATGACATAATTTGTCTATGACATAATTTGTCTATGACATAATTTGTCTATAGGGGTACTCTGACCTTGGACCTCCTGTTACTTCCTATAGGCTACGAACCTAAGAGATGGTTCTATGGGATTCTCTTACGTCGACTACAGTTACCAAGCCTGGTAAGTCATGGAAAGTCTTGGAAAATGAGAGAACTACACTCCTTTAGCATAAATAGGATTGCCCTTTCCTTAAGAAAGGGCAAGCAGACAATACAGTAAATCGACTATCACATACTTCCACGTCTTTTCCAAGCTTCCAAGCATTCATCTTGTTTGTTACTCCTTGTTTCTGAAAAGTCAGTGAGGTGTTAACCTCTGACTTACCCCTGAGTTCCCAGACTCAACATTTGTTGCAACTTGTCTGAACCACTTCACTACATCACACACCTGATTGCTGCGTTGTGGAATAGTCTAAGCTACGACCCTTTGGCTCTGTTTTCTAAGACAGTGTGTTGTCTTAGTAAATTTATCCCTTCCTTGGGTGGCTAGATTCTCACATCTGGTGCACCCACCATTACAGTTTGCTCTTGAGTTTGATAGCAAACTGAGTGCAACGAATGTCAGTATGACATTCCCCCTTCATCTTTTTTGTATCCTTCGTAGTAGACCTATAGGATAGCATCCGTTTAGCCTCTGACTCACACTCTCATATGCTATTACTGTGAGCTGGGTGCCCTGTGCTTCTGTGTGATGAGCACAGGATGCTGGGACTCCTCATCATCATCATCTTGAGCATCGGAAACCTGTATATATGGAGCCATCGCCTCCTGTATAATCGTGTCCTCATCTAAGCCTCCCTCCACCTCTTGTATTGCCTCCTCCACTGGATTCAAAAAGTTCGAAAGGTCCATAGCATCTGATATATGACCAGCTTGTTGTACTCGAGTATATAAGTCGTTTAGAACAGGGAGTGGGTGTATAGGAAGCTGTATTGGGCGTAAAAGAATCGTGCTTTGTTGAAAGCAATTGTAGATAGTTGTATTTGTAACGTTGTGATGCCATGATCGAATAAGCCAGCGAATTGCAAAGTGTATTGTCATTGTTTTGATTGGATCCAGGTTGTTGCTAAAAGATTAGAGCATGAACTCAAGCCATTGCCGACGATAATAGCTTTTTAAAGAGGCTATAATACCTTGATGTAATGGTGGGTGCACCAGATGTGAGAATCTAGCCACCCAAGGAAGGGATGATTTTACTAAGACAACACACTGTCTTAGGAAACAGAGCCAAAGGGTTGTAGCTTCGACTATTCCACAACGCAGCAATCAGGTGTGTGATGTAGTGAAGTTGTTCAGACAAGTTGCAACAAATGTTGAGTCTGGGAACTCAGGGGTAAGTCAGAGGTTAACACCTCACTGACTTTTCAGAAACAAGGAGTAACAAGATGAATGCTTGGAAGCTTGTAAAAGACGGGGAAGTATGTGATAGTCGATTTAATGTATTGCCTGCTTGCCCTTTCTTAAGGAAAGGGCAATCCTATTTATGCCAAAGGAGTGTAGTTCTCTCATTTTCCATGACTTTCCATGACTAACCAGGCTTGGTAAATGTATTAGAAATCAAGTGCGACCCACAACTAGCTTGCTAATCATGTAGTGAACGTAAGAGAATCCCATAGAACCATCTCTTGGGTTCCTAGCCTATAGGAAGTGAAAAGGAGGTCCAAGGTCAGAGTACCTATAGATAAATTATGTCATAACTTAACCAATCTTGTGGGTAACTAAGGAGCGATGACGTGTAATGAATCATAGAGGGTTGTAGAAGCTTCTAGAGCTATCGTTCATGTTCCTAGGCCTCTAGTTGGTAGAGATATGCCATGTGGTAGTATTGGCCCACCCCCTTAAGGAGGAGATTTTCTTAATAACTTGTTCAATGAGTGTTCAAATGATATGCCGTGATGTATGTAGCATAAACAGATGTAGTAGAAGAGTTTGCAGCAATCGTTGAGTAGTATTGCTTCTGTTGTTGGTGTGATAAGCCAAGATATGTATGGTGACTTGTAGGTTTGAGGAGGAGATTTCTAAGTTTGCTCTTGAGTTTGATAGCAAACTGAGTGCAACGAATGTCAGTATGACACTTGATCGAGAGGTTGATATCGACTGGTCGCATTTGGAGGAAGCCAGATAATTCGTATGTTTGGAGGAGGAGGCGTCGATTCCACTGCAGCGATATGGGCTGAGAAGTTATCCATTGTAAGCAGTATAGAACGTGACGTACCAATATGAGTATAGAAAGCATTTAGCCAATCTGCCATAACAAATTGATTCATCCAAGCCTTCTTATTCCACCTCCAAACCCCACCCATTGCCCCTACATCAACGTGTTGTAAAGCTCGAGGCTTTTTAGCCTTTCCAATAAACCAAAGAGAAAGTCAATCTGTTCCAGCAGCATTAACACAAATGGCTACTGATATGCGTGCTTAGTCCTTCTTCTGTCCTGCAATTGATCGTGTTGTAAAGCCCTTTGAAGGGCTCATCCTCCAGTAAAGCCCAGTCTCATCCATGTTGTAAATATTGTCCTCTAAAAACTCCCCCGCAATAGTTTGTATAGCCTTCATTTGTTCTTCTGCAGTGACACCAATAGATCCAGCTTCGCCATGTAGAGTTCGATATAATATATTATGCAGTTGTCGAAACTTTACGATCCATCCGTAACTAAATTCTGTCGTAGGTAGTCCACGGTATTGTGGTAGCTGATTCCAGATAATCTTCGCCTTTGATTGTAAGATTTCTGTAGTTGTAATGCCGCCACGCTCTTCAATAAGCCTCTGCCAGTCGTAAAGAGCAGCTTTGTTACGGCTACGGTAATGTGACGTCATGGTTGTAGGACCAGGGCCTAGTAACGTGACGTGTGAGTCACAGGGGGCAAGAGGGGTAGGCTGCCATGTGACGGGGCTAATGGATAGTTGCAGAAACTAGTGGATATTGGATAGTTGAGCTATCCACAAACTATCCTGAATATCTAGCTATCCGCCAACTATCCAGATTACCCATGAGGCACGACGCCACTATATAAGTAGATAGTATTTCGTTAGATAGGAGCTTCGTGCTCAACTCAATATAGTATTCTTTACAATACTGTAACGTGTTACTTGGAAAGCCTTTGTGTTTAATCCCCTGCCTCCTCTGTCAAGTCAACCTTATGCAAGAAACCCCTGTGTCTTCTATCGTTTAGAAGTCAGCGTTACAAGCTTCTAATTCAGGCCAGGCGACAGCGCGGCGACGCTGAGCTTTAGAGCTGTTTGTTTCCAGAGTATTAGAAGTATCGTCAAGGTCCAAAAATCGAGAGCTAAGGAATTCTGAGACTGTAGATTGGCTAAGTCGACGATTGTATTTCTTGAGGAACCACTGTATAGTGGCCTTTTGTGTAGGTTTCGGATGGTGAGATCGATGCCAGGTTCGGAGGGCTTTTCGCTGTTCGAGAGACATAGAATAGAGCTTTTTTGAAGGCATTTTGAAGGTATTCTAAGAGTAGTCCAGTAATTAGTTTAAGTCGATAATTGGGAAAAGGGACTCAATATCATGTGTATCGTGATTTGTATGACGAATGGAAGGATCCGAAGAAAGTTATCGAGTTATCCAGAAAATTGACTAATTGTGTATCGACTTAACGAGATAATACTGTATGCCTGACGATAGCACTAGGAAAAGCTGCCATTCTCTTTCCCTTAACAGGTAGCCCTGTAACTAACGTTATGTTACTGTAGCCGTAACACGGAGGCTGTAGGTGTAGGCTCTACAGCTAGCAGACTGTAGAAAATATCATATTTCTAGTAGCTCTAAGCCCTAGGTAATACTGCTTAAGAATCCATTTCTTAAGGGCTTCTAACTACGTAGTAGAGAGCACCTTATTCTAACCTCTATAGGTAAGAGTTTTGGTGAGTAGTGGCAGTGAACAGACGCATGTCGCGAAACCGCGCATCTCGCTTCTCCAAAATTCTCGTTCGCGCATCTCTCTTCCTCCAACCTTGAGCGAAGCGAGAAGTTGGAAACGACGATTAACTGATCATGGCATTATTCGATAATCCGAATCGAGGAACTTACGATACATCCAAACCTGAATTACCAAACCTACTTTCGGGATGGGACAGTATTTTCGCCTCGCAGCTCCTCGAGCAAGAGAGGCCCTTTCTGGGGGACACAAGCTGGGGGAGATTCTATTTAATACATCACCCACAGTACTTGTGTACCTTCTCGCTGTCCCGGTTCAACCAAAGAAACGCCTAGCTGCTTCTGAGGTCGTTACAAAGGCCCTCAAAACGCCAACAGCTCTCCAGAGTGGCGGCCTCGCCTCAAGTTCAAAGCAGGATGGCGCCATTTCAAGTGCTAAACGCAAGGCAGACACGGAAGAGCAGCTCGATTTCAGCCTCCGGAATGGCAAACAAGCTAAAACTGAAGCTACTCATACGCCGGCGACATTTTGTGCCCTTCCAAGAGAACTCCACGAGTTGATCTTTGGCTTCGTGAAGCGGCTCAAAGATCTCGCTTGCTTTGGCCTGACGAACACATACTTCTGGAACATCAGTCACGAAATCATTCAGCACCGCTTCGCGTCGGAGCTAGGGACCTGGGCAGGGAAACAGATTGTCAATGTCGGCGACTACACTGCGCCCGGAGACTATCCTCCTGGATTGTTCTCGCCCGAGGAGGAGAAGTACTTAACAAACAAGCAGTTCCAATATTGTGATGGCGCCGGTGAGCAGCATCTGACACCGTTGACATTGTATCACCTTACCGAGTCTTCGAATTTCGAGATGGTGGAGGCCAAGGAGATCTCCACGCAGTCAACGCGACTCTTGGGCGGATTGATGATGCGTTGCCAAAATTCCCCCACAGACAGTCGGATAGTTCGCTCTAGATCCAAGGAGATTATACACGCCAACGATTCAGCATTCTTGCCAAGGGACCAGGCTTGGATTCTACGAAATTTGACTACAAAAGAGTTTGTCACTGCGATCGGAATCGCCTTAGATGCAAAATACATCGACGGGCCCTTCATTGGCTGCATAGGCTTTGGCGAGGTTGTCATGTCTCGAATCTGTTGGTCTTCGGATCCATCAATCAGCATGCGTTATACTGGAGAGATCTGGAGAGGAGTATGGGCAGGGCATCGCTTTGATATCACAACTGTCTCGCGACACGAGGAGAGTACCAAGAATGAGAAATGGACGGACGTGAGCAAGGAAGTTGCAGCAGAGATTGCGGCTATCTGGGAGAGCGAATATGGAGCAGATTGGCGAAATATTTTTGCGCATTAAAGCATGCCCGTTAACACTTCTCCGAGGATCACACATGGTACGAGCAGCGTCTAGAAAGTTTACATGGCTCAAAGCTCAATGTTGCCTTACTACTCAGAGTACTACTCAGAGATCTTCTACAAACACCAGTACACGACTTAATAGTGTCAGAGGCTGGCACTTAAATAAAAATCGTTTGCGAACAGGAGATTGAGGGTAGGACATTGAGGATAGGGCCATGAGGATAGGGCCATGATGAATCTATACCCCCGTTAAATAATATAACCTATGCTTTGTTTGCCTGATTTTGCCAGCCCCTTCGTCTCCAGCCATTCCAATACGGGCCTTGAAGTCACCTCCATTTCTATCGTGTCTCACTGCCATCCCTCTCGCATCATATCACATGGCCATCCTTTCATGTTATCCTACCCCGTTACCGAGAATATCTCTTGACCTTTTGCCGACTCCCTCCAAATCGTCTATATGCCGACTTCAAACGTGCTGATAAACTACAAATACGCCTTTGACCTCATTCAATCTTAACTTCGGTGATGTCACGACGCGGCGCGCCAAACGCTGGCACTGCCCGTCCTAGGGTGAGCGTTAAATTAACGCCATGCCAAAGAGGCTGGCCAGGATGTATGACCCACACAAACTTAGTGGGGGTTTTAGGTCTCGAGGGGGTTTTACAGTACGGCGCCAGGCGGTGGTTTGAGAACCAACGATTATGGCGTAATGAGCACCAAAACCCCCCCCCACCTTGCAACTTCAAACTCGTAAACCACAACAATGGTGAGATGTAAGTGCCTCCGGATTCAAGAGAATCGCCTCTCTGCTTGGTATAAGGACTTGGGATTACTAAATGATTAGGTAATTACACTAAGTGAGGACTTCAAATTCAATTAGGTACGAGTAGATTCAACACTTCGATTAATATACGGAGGTGTTGTTCATAAGTTTTGTGAGTGGGTCGGGCTAGGGCCCCCTGCGTAGGCTGGTTTGGCAATTCTGGCCAAAGTACCGATTCTCACGCGTCACGAACACTTGAGTGTGAGAGCAATCAATTCTGTAGAATAATGAGTAGAGTAGATACCTAAACCCCTATATAAAACTATACTATAAGCCTAGTACTCTGTGTGCATACCATTTGCAGCAATTACTGCTGCCATACGTGTAGGCATACTATTAAGGAGAGCATTAAGCTCAGCTTCTCCAACTTGCTCCCATGCTTCCTTAACAGCTACACGGAGCTGGTCGTAGGACATATGTTCTGGATGATTATCTTGTAGATAATTCTTCATAATATGCCACACCCGTTCAATTGGGTTGAGATCTGGTGAATACGGGGGCCATTCTATAGGGCAAATACCACGGGATCTCAACTCTTCATATGTTGCAGCTGCTCTATGACCTGGAGCTCCATCTTGCATCAATGTAAGGCCTGGGTATAGGCGTAGCCAGCCGTGGATTAGAGGGACAGTATGAGCCATATAGGACTCAGCTCCTATTTTCCCATATTCCTTCTCCCAAAATAGTATAGGACCCTTTCCAAGACCACCTGAGAAGCAGCCCCAGAACATCCAACCTCTAGGGATTGTTAGTAAATCCTATAGTAAATAGGAGTCTCTTACCTTCTCCGTTGTACTCTATCTACAACACATGTATCATCCCACATTTCCCCTGCTTTTCGAGTAACCCATGTACGAGTATGGCGGCCTCCCGTTACCCACGTCTCGTCAGTCCAAAGTATCCTATTCCAATCATTCCGTACCCAATCCTTATGTTCAATAGCCCATGAAAGTCGCTTTTGTCGATTTGTCTCTGAGATAATAGGCTTCCGCATAGCAATCCCTTAATAATTATTAGTCTATATAGTAGTAAAGTAGAGAGGGATACTTATGTCGATTATAGCCTCTCACAGACAGAGCGGGTTAGGACAAGCCGTGAGCATGGAATATTAAGAATGCGTATTATATTTGTATATGGCATACGCCTATTCGTGCGAGATGAGGCTATAAACTCAATAACCTCTTGAACTTGCTCATCGGATAGGATAAGTGGCCTACCCGAACGCTTCTTCGGAGTTGGAGGGCCCTGGCAAGCATACCAAGCCTGCCGTTCCGTGCAGCCAATATAGGCTGCAATTTTTTGGAACTCCCAATCTAGGGAGCGTAGTAGTGCGCAACGAAGCCGCTCATCGCGAGTAAGATGAGGCATTGTAGTTATTGAAAGAGTATGAATTTCCTACATATAAAATACAATAGTAGGAATTTTGACGCGTTAAAAAGGTACAAACAAGCCTACGCGTACCCATGCTCCAACCCATGCCCAACCCCCGGTCATCTCATGACCCACTCACAAAACTTATGAACAACACCTCCGTACAAATAGTTGTTCGATCAGAACCTATCGCCTTCTCATTCTTAACGGAAATGAGAGCCACCTCTCTGCTTAATTTCAACACTACTCAGAACAGAAGATAATCATCATTACTTGTAATGATGTACGGTTACGCTCGCCCTACATCCCACTGAGCCAAAAATACTACAGTATTCCTATAACGGCGGCATCCCGTTACAATTCGTGGGTGGTTTTGCGATTCGATTGGTCGGTGACTGTATTTAACTATTATCTAGAAGATTGCTTGAGGCCGGTGGATTAGTAGTTAGGTGGGTGACTACTAGCGAATACCTACTGTTGTATTTGATAAAAACCTCTTCGATTGGTATATGTGTACTGTATATCAGGATATCGGGATATATACGCTCCCCTCCCAACACTCTCCTACTCTGCCCAAAACCCACAACAAAACCACAACCATACGCCAAACCGCTGTGCTACGCCAAATCCCCAAAACCCATTTCTTCAACCTATGCTACCTCCCAAAGTCTACCCAAACCTCAACCCCGCACTCGGATCCCACACCCCAGCCTGTGGCTGCTGCTGCTTCTTCGCATCCCCCATAGGGGCCGGCGACCCACCAAATCGAATCCCCATCTCCGGGTTCCACATCCCTGCCACCGGCCCCGGTGGGAGCGGAGGCTGCTGCTGTTGTTGCTGCTGGGGTTGTGGTGGCGGCGCGGGGTTGCGCGTCGCGATGGGGGCGGGCATTGGTTCTGATTGCTGGGGCCGTGACGGGGCGTGTGAGGCGGGTGGTTGTTGTTGTTGTTGTTGCTGTGCCTGGTTCTGCAGTGATAAAGAAGAGAGAGGTGGGAGTGAGAGATCCCTATATCCCATATAGTCAGCCAGAGCTCCAAGAACAAAAAAAGGGCGTAAAAAACACACGACTCAAGCCCCGCAGCCTCCGCCCGTCGCCTATACCCAAACTCCCTCGCCTCCTCGCGGAACCTGCCCACAATCCGACTAAGGTCATTATAAAACGTCCTCCCCATCTCCAACTTCGCCACCACATCTTTATACCCCACCCACGCCCCCTCTAGCTGCTGCAACGCCTTCTCCCTCTCCCCCCCACCCTCGCCACGGCGCGCACGCACAAAATCCGCATTAGCCCGCTCAACCGCGCGCAATAAAGTAGCCTGCTCCTCCGCCTCGGCAGCAACAGCCGCAATTTCGGAATCATACCTACTCCCGAGCCTAGCATCGAAGAAGGCTTCGAAATGCGCTGTTACGATAGTGACATCAGGCCTCTCGCGCTCCAGTCTCGCCGCCTCAGCCAAGAGAGCAGGATGCACGTCATCCGCCCTCGCCGCCTCGCGAAGCGCCTCAATCCTACGCCGCCGCCTACTCTCGAGGCGCGAAATATCATTGAGACAGGTACGCAGCGCCAAGGCCTCAGCCTCAAGTTTCGGCGGAATAGCAGCGCGGCGAGACGCCGGTACGAAGTCCGCGAGCCCGCGGTCGGGGCCAGCGAGGATGCGCAGGAGCGGAGCAAGGTTTCGGTACATGTCGCGGACGAGGTCATCGCTCGCAGCTGCGCTAGCGAGGTAGCTTTCGATTTCCGCGATCTGGGCGTGGAGTTTGGGCGCGGCTTCGCGAGAGGGGGGCCGAGTCCAGCGGAGAGTGCCAAAGCGGGCGCGGAGAGCGGCATCTTCGGCTTCCTCCGCGAGGAGGGCGTCGCGGCCCGAGGCGAAGGTGGCGGCGTCTGTTGCTTTTAGCTTAGCGGTGTCGGCGAAGGAGCGGTCGAGGCGGGCGATGGCGTCAGATTGGCGGAGTTCTTCGGCGTGGGCGAGGAGGGCGGGGGGGATGCCGAGGGGTTTCTCGAGGGCTTGGAGGGAGCCGGGGAGGGAGAGGGCGGAGAGGGTGCTGTGGATTGAGGCGGTAAGGGCGGAGAGGGGGGCGGTGAGTTGGGTGATGACTAGGCGGTCGCGGCGCTCTTCGTAGATGCTGGCGGCGAGGTGGACGGCGAAGGGGACGAGTTTGGCGAAAAGGGGAGGGCCGAACATGGCGTTGTCGCCGAGATGGTCGAGAGGGGATGCGACGTCTGGGGGCACACGGGCGACAACCATTCCGGCGCGCTCGATGGTCTTGAGCTCGGGTTTCGGCGGTACGGGGTTGAGGTAAATGATATCATTGTCTTTCTCCGCACGCTTGAGGTCCTCAGAGACCTTGTTCTTAAGGCCGTTCAGGTCGCTCAGCACGGTCTTGTTGACGTAGCGCGCCTCCTTCAGCGCGTCGTTGACACAGAGCATGCTATCGCGTAGCCGTGCCACCTCTTCCCCGTACTTGCGCTTCTCGAGGCAGTCACAGGCTTGTCGGTACTGCGCTGCTGCTGCGAAGTGGTGGTGCTTCGCAGCCATGTGGTGGATCCACTCGGAGCTTATGGCCTCGCTCTGCACCGCCCAGTCGCCGGCCGTGCTATACAGATCTGAGACCCGCGCGGCCAGCTTTGCAATCGATGCGTCCTTGTATCCGTCCATCACGGCCTTCTGCCAGAAGCACTCTTGTCCCTGGGCGAGGAGTAGTTCCTGCAGCGATTCTAGCGTCACAATATCCATATCCTCGACTGGCGCCGTGCGTAGCTCTGGCACGACCTTGTCCTTGATGTGTGAGATGACTCCGGCGGCGAGGCAGAAGTAGTTCGCGGCAGACTTCAGCCCATCGGGCGAGCTGGAATTGACAGAGACGGCGAGTTGGGAGTAGAGCGCCGCGAGGTTGAAGAGGACGTTGCATAGCTCGAACTTGAGGTTATCTTGAGAAATTGGGCGCTTCGTGTTGTAGCCCAGCGCGGAAAACCATGTGAAGTCGGCACCAATCTGTATTGAAGTAGAGTATCAGTATATATTATTCCAGCCACGAAAAAAATCGTTCCGCCAAATAAAAAGTACGCACATCTATGGGGAACTTGCCGCCCATCCACACGAGCTGGGCAGCATAGGCAGCGATCTTCTTGAGGCCAGTGATGTGGGGTTCGCGGACGTTGATTGCCTCGCGGCGCAGGCTGTCGATGACCTCTAGGTCCTGCTTGAACATATCGGGGTGTTGGTCATATTTGCCGGAGATATATTGCCTGATGGCGTCGGAGAGGACGAGGCTGTGGGCTTTGCGGAAAGGGAGGAAGAGAATGTTGCTTGGGATTTGTGAGCTTGTGTTTTATAAAAGTGTAGGGAGATATGGGAGAGGGAGGGGCTACTTACGAGGCCATTTTGGAAGCTGAAGTGTCCCCGTGGTGGAATCGTGGGAGCTAGAAAATATTGAAGCCTTGAGCCAGGCTCTTTTCTCCGTTTGGGTCAGTTGAGGTACAGTCAGGGTCAGTGATGAAGTCATTGTTGCCTGAGGCAGCAGCGTCAAATAGGTACGTACTGTTTATGAATATAGTGGCCTGAGGCAGCGACGTCAAATAGGTACGTACCGTTTATGAATATAGTGGCCTGAGGCAACAATGCTTAAATCGCAGAATCACATGCTGGCGATGAGGGGCATGGGAAGCTAAGCGAGAAGTACATCAGCATAGGTACACAAGTACTCTCTTCCCTCCAGACTGTGTAAAGTTACACGATGAGGAGGGTTTGGGTATGTCTGGGATACAAACTGTCGTCATCAATAGACAGGCCGATAATCAATTTGAACATTGAAGAGATGGAAGAGAGAGATAAGGAGGACAGCAGAGCCTCTACAATCCTCGTATATATATATCCATCTATCCGTCAATCCATCACCCATATATCCATCTATCCGTCAATCCGTCAATCCGTCAATCCGTCAATCCGTCAATCCGTCAATCCGTCAATCCGTCAATCCGTCAATCCGTCAATCCGTCAATCCGTCAATCCGTCAATCCGTCAATCCGTCAATCCGTCAATCCGTCATCCATCACCCATATATCCCATCTATCATCTATCCGTCTACGGAGCTGGAGCTGCATACCTCTCATATCCTCCTATACAATACCAGGGCAGCCATTTGTCAATACCAGGGCAGCCGTTGGGCAATACCAGGGCAGCCGTTGGAGCCCTACCCAAGTCAGCTAAGTATGGCAAGCAAGCCCTCCATGCCATCATACCATACAATCCCTACTAATATCATTTTTCTCTACAGTAGTGCACTACCACCATCACCACCAGCATCAAACTAAACCCCTCCCAGTCAACCATACGCAATAAGGCCATAAACAGTCGGTCTCTTCCTTCCTCCGCGCCTTTCTCGCCTTTCTCCTCATTCTCCCCCGTTCTGCTCCGGATACTTTTCGCTGCCTCATATCCACTTCCTCCGCAATCCATACTCGGGACTACCTATAACGGGGTAGCGACACTGGGAGACACCTGTAGCGACGCTCTTCTCTTCCACTGTTTACCACTTTTGGCCCCGCCTCGGACAAGGTCACTCGATAAATCAACAACCGCCTGCCGCTACCTAAGGTGACTCCAACCCATCCCGCCCGGAACGAGAGAAAAGGCACACGACTCTCTTGTCTCGACTTCGTGCACCGCTTCTATATTCTCAATCCTCACTTCTCTCCGCCGCTCCTTTATGTTGCTTTGGACTTACGACTGTTCCCCTCGTGACTCCAAAGATTCGTTCGCCAATTCCTTCCTCTTGAGCTTAATTGGCTACGATAAACTACCGGCCCTCAATTAGCCTCGGCACTCGCCAGCCTTCCGCTCTCCATTCGCCCTCAAATCTCGCCCCAGCAGCCTCGCAACATACTCGACTACATTTACGTGTAAATACAAGTGACGACGCGCGCGACGGCCATCACGGAGACGTCCAGCTGAACAAAACTCATTGCGCAGTGGCCCGAGGGCCCTAAAACAAGCAGCGAATATGTCGTTGAAGAAGTCGGACCGCTTGATGGAGACCATCAAGCACTACTCAGCCTTCCCTGCTACCGGCGTAAGCTTGCGCCAGATGGTACAGTTTGGGGAGAGGCCTTCTGTCGGTATGTTCTACCACCTGAGGCCAAAGCCAAACGCGCCATACTGACGCTGAATCTCCAGGAACCCTCTTCCGCGCGTCACAATTCCTCTCGGAAGAATTACCCATACGGCTTGCGCATAGGGTACAGGAGCTGTCCGACTTACCAGATGGGTTAAATGAGATGACCTCGATACAGAGGGTGAAGGATTGGTATGCCCAGTCGTTTGAAGTATGAAAATTTACTCTTGGGGGGTTTGTTCTAGATTGAGTCATACTGACAGCATGACAGGAAATCACAGCACTTCCCAGGCCGGAACTCTCGAAAAAGGTCAAGGAGCGCCTCATGAGGCCGAACAAGTTCAATGCCAAGCACCCCAAGATGATCTCAGAAACGACGTACAATCCCAGTGTGCCCAAGGGAAAGTACACGTCAGCGTACTGGCCGAACGAAAACGGAAACGGCAACGGCAACAGGGAGGGCAAGAAGGGCTTGTCGCGCCGCTATTTCGCGACGGTAGAAGACACAGGCGACTGGCCACCTGAGCTATTCGACTACAACAAGCGCTTCGCCGAAACGCTCAACACGATCAAGAGGCGGCACGACGGCGTTGTCACGACCGTTGCCCAGGGCATCCTCGAGTACAAGCGCAAGCGGCAACGGATGCAGATCGACCACAACATCCAAGCTTTCTTGGATCGCTTCTACATGTCGCGCATTGGGATCCGTATGCTGATCGGGCAGCACATCGCGTTGACGGACCAGAACCACAACAAGGACCCCAACTACGTGGGCATAATCTGCACCAAGACCAATGTGCGCGACCTTGCGCAGGAGGCCATTGAGAATGCGCGCTTCGTCTGTGAGGACTTTTACGGCCTATTCGACGCGCCCAAGGTCCAACTCGTGTGCCCGCCGGACTTGAACTTCATGTATGTGCCGGGGCATTTGTCGCATATGCTCTTCGAGACGCTCAAGAACTCGTTGCGCGCGGTGGTCGAGACACATGGGCAGGATAAGGAGGAGTTCCCAATTACGAAGGTGGTGGTTGCTGAGGGGAAGGAGGATATTACGATCAAGATTTCCGACGAGGGTGGTGGCATCCCACGTAGCGCTATCCCGCTCGTGTGGACATACATGTACACCACCGTGGACTCAACGCCAAGTCTCGACCCAGACTTTGATAAGAGCGATTTCAAGGCCCCAATGGCTGGGTTCGGGTACGGATTACCGATATCGAGATTGTACGCGAGGTATTTCGGAGGGGATCTTAAGTTGATCAGTATGGAGGGGTAAGTTCTTCCTTTCCGTCCACTTAAAAAACACAACGCTAACAAAACCCCAGCTACGGCACAGACGTCTACCTCCATCTCAACCGCCTATCCTCATCCTCCGAACCCCTCCAGTGACAACCAACACCCCCCCTCGAGACCGGCGGCCCCTCCCGCTCCCGCCACCACAGCGCCTCGCGCAACCTGACCCTGGATATGCGCTACAAGCAGATGCACCTCAAGTCCCGCGAAGTGACGACGCGTAAGCAGGTCGGCGACGCGGAGAGCATGGTAAACGAGGGCGAGTCCTCGGCGGGGCGGAGCGGTTTTTTTGGACGGGGGGGGGAGGTGTGAGGCTGCTGGCGGGGAAGTGGGGAGGGATACTGGCGGCTTGTGCTTGTTTCTGTAGTCCCCTTCTTGTCCTGCTGCCGCTGCTGGAGTTTGTGTCGTGATGCGGTCGTGCTGGGGTGGCGTGTGATGAGCCGACGCGTCCGTTCCTCTCCCCCCTGAGAAAAATAAATCTACTGGTGAGGGTGAGAACTGGCGAGGGGGGTGTGTGCGTGTGCTTGCACATAAATGAAGAAATCTTCAATTGGAGACGGAAAAAAATACAAAACTTTATTTTAAAGCGGTTTACTAGGGATGGGGGGTTGGTGGTGCATGCATTATAGGAGGAATGCCGGATGGATAGAAGATGCATTTGACTTGAGGGGTGCATGAGAAAGGAGGGGGGATATTTCTTTGGGTGGCTATTTCATTGTTCACTAGGACACGGTGGGGTGGGGTGGGTGTACGGCGCGTCAAGGCAGGTCGGAGGGGGGGTTGGCTGTAACATATACGTGGGATCTCATAAGCCTGCACCGTGGTTTTCTTTTTGCATAGCATTGGTTTTCGGGAAAGCGAGACCAGAGAAGGTGGTAGAGATGGATGGGGTATTCGCCCCTGTTTGGAAGATTTGTTGAGGAGTAGAGAAATAAAGATCATGATTGTTTAAAACGTTTTTGGATTTGAGAAATGCACGTATGTGATAGGACGGGGATGTGCAGAGAGTGATCAGATGAATGAATGAATATTTGCATCCATATTTCTCGCCTCGGGCACGCCTACACAGTAGTAACCAATACCTTACAAACGCCTCCCTCCTCACATACGTAGATACACCCCTTCCTCTTCCGTCAAACCTACGCCTTATAAAGTGTATCCAAAAAACCCCCCGCCAACTCCACCACAACACTCTTATTCGGCAGGCTCCCCGCCACCCCATAAAGCGCTGCGCTATCCCCCCTCGCCTCCCCCTTCTTCCGCCCATTCACCGCCCTCTCGCGCTCCTTCTCGCGCTCCGCCTCCACGACGGCCTCGAGATCAGTGATAAACTTCTGCCACACCTTCGCAACAGGGAGCGTGACGGCCATGTGCACAGCGGGCGGGTTCTGGAGGGCGTTCAGGTGCCAGCCCTTCGCGGACATGCCGTCGGCGATGTCGTAGATGTCGAGGGTGGAACTGCGTACTGCGACGACGCTGACGAGGGGCTCGCCTACGATTTGGAGATCAGTGGAGAGAGAGGGATTGGTGCGCACGGCGTCCGCGATGGAGCGCGCTGCGCCGACAATCTCGTGCGCCGAGGCAATGTAACCAGCCTCACCAACACGCATCAAACTGGCCCAGCACCCCGCAATCAGGGCGCCGGGGCGGGATCCCGCCATGTTAGGGGAAGCGTAGACACCGCCCGACCAGTCTGGCGCGATAAAGTACTGGTATGTGCGCAACTTCGCAGAGCGGTAGAGGACGGTGCTGTTTCCCTTAGGCGCGAAACCGTACTTGTGGGTGTCGCAGGAGATGGAAGTGACGCCACGGAGGCGGAAGTCGAAGAGCGGTGCGGGGAAGCCAGCGGCCCCGAGGAAGGGAACGAGGAAGGAGCCGAGGCAGCAGTCGACGTGGAGGGGGATGCGGCTGGCCACGGCGAGCTTGGAGAGCGTGGAGATGTCGTCGATAATGCCGTGGGGGAAGTTGGGGGCGGAGCCGACGAGGAGGATCGTGTTGCTGTTTATGAGGCGCGAGACGGCAGGGATGGAGACTTGATAGGATGGGGCGGGGCAGGCGACGAGGTGGACTTTGATTCCGAAGTAGTGGCCGGCTTTGTGGAACGCGGTGTGGCCGGTGTTGGGGAGGATCCTGTGAGGAGGGTTAGTACGCGGGTTTGGAAGGGGGGAATACGGTGTCTTACATCTCGGGTTCAGTGACACCACGCTCAACGTAGGCCTTTTGTCTGGCGCTGAGGCAGGCCATAAGGATCGACTCGGTGCCGCCGCTTGTGGTGGCACCTGCGGCTCCGGGCGGCGCATTGAAGATCCCCAGGACCATTGCGACGATCTCAGCCTCCATCTTTCGGACGCCAGGGAAGACATCCGGGTGGATAGGATTGGCGACGGTGAACTTTCCGAAGGCCTCCGTCTGTAGCTTTATCAGGTCGTCGCCGCCGTGGTACACAGCACCAGACACGTATCCGTCTTCCCACTTGGTATGGTCCATGTTGGCGAGGGTTTCCAGCTCCTTCTGCACTGTTTCGTCGGTCCAGCCCTCCTTGGGGAGAGTCAGGTGTCTCGTTATGCCGGGTCCGGATTGTATAAGCTTCGCCTGCAGCTTTGTGATCGCCTCATCGACCTGTTTCTGAACCTGGGTGCGCACACCCGGCGCCCTCAGGAAGAGCCCATACAGCCTCCGTCGGACCGAAACGTAGCCATCGATAGTCGAACCAACGAATCCCCTGCCCTTGAGTTTCAGGTACGCCTTCTTCGTCCACCTCCACAGAAAGAGGAAGAAAATGATATTGCGCAGCCTAAACCAAATCGTCAGTATCGGAATCGCAGCTCCGCGCGAGTAATCACCGTGGGACTTACAGGTCGATGTTCAGCGAGAGAAGCTGGGTACCCGAGCCGCCGGTCTTCGCGGCAATGGTGTTGCGCAGGCTGATAGGAATCCTCGAAGTCCCCGGCATGGTGATATCTCGAACAATTGAAGATTCTCAGTTCCTTGATGGAGGATGTGATGTTGAGAGTTGCTGGCAACGGCGATGCGGCGACCTCCACTTATGCTGGAGTTCGGCTTGGGAAGGGAGTGGGGAATCTGGGAATCACATGCGACTATGTCTATTTAGGGAAGGACGGAGGTACTCACCAGCTTCCTATTGGGTGCTAGCTATATTAGGATGGAAACGGAATAACGTATTTCCATGCATATATTCCCAAAGCCTCACAAAGCTGTTTTATATAGATAACCGTAAGATCAGCGCGGTCAGATTAGATGATCTTTTCCATTCGAGAATATAGACAGCTACTCCTACTACTACTAAGTCACACCAGGGCACAAAATAAAGTTAAGCGCCCCGCAAAAGGAGGCCAGCATTATATATACCCTACCCTACAAACGTATCCATCACTTGACTCCGACAGCTGTGTCCTACTCCCACAGGAATGCTTTAAGGATATACAAGAAATTCGAAATAGCGCCCCAATGACACAATCCCCGTAATGACCGCTTCGCGACGTGGCCCCAGTGTGAAATGCATGGACGTAAAATGATTCAATGCCGTCTTCAACGCCCCATAACGCCCTCCGTACTCAATCATCGCTCATTAGAGTCTCTTGGACTCACTCGTATGCTCCGGTAGCTCTTGATTACAGCCGACCTGCGGCTTCAGGCCGTCGCTACGAACTGAAAGCTTGTCGCCATTTCTTGGAAAAGGGCTTCGCCTCGTCCTCGCATTTCGGTTGACTGGTGGTATCGCAACCCGCGAAGTTGATGACAAAATCTTCTTCCTTGTATACATCTGTCTTCCCAGTTGTGGCTGTGGGGGCTCTGCTGTACGAATTCATAATGTGCTGAGGGACTATGCTGAGCCTGGAGAGGATGGTTGGGTGCCATTGGACAATGTGTTCCTAGTATTTATGAGCCTTAGTCTTGCCTTACGTGTCGGTTAAACATACCAATGCGTGTCTTTCTGCCTTTTGGAAATTGTAGGAGCGATATAGCGGATCGAACCACGTATCAAGAAGGAATTTTGACCAGTCTCCGTTGCGAACAATAAAGCTTCCCGGCGCCAAACCATCTTTATCCTGCGTGATAGAGAAATGTATTTGCTGGCCCTTTAGGTGCTTGAATGTCTTGATGACGCTGTCTGGCGGCACGATGGACTGGTCTGTGATCATGAGGGCGTCCATTCGTTTGGGGTTCATAATATGCGTTTCGATCTTTAGGTTAGGGTTCATGATGAGCGCATTCTGATCAAGAAACCAGTAGTACTCCGTGTATGGGAAGTTCGTGAGGGCGTGTCGCATCGCGGGTAGTTTCGACCATGATACAGGTGAGTTGCCAATCGGGTAGTCGTTGACGGTTGGGAAAAAAGTCGCATACCCTAGAAATAGTCAGCCCATTGTCCTCACACTGTCCACGCCAGTGAGTATTACCATGCTTCTTCGCGTATTGTTCACGATTCTCCTTGATATCGGCGATATATTGTTTGCTCTGTGACCCAGGGTCTATAACCGTGATGATCACGACTGGGGGGGTTCTAGGGGGGGCACCACCCCCAAAGCCTAAAATCTTCGCGATGATAAAGAGTAGAGTGCCAACCCCTAATGCACACAGCACCAAAAATTGTATCCGGCTCCGTCGGAATAGCGGCGCCTTTGATGCGCGGGCGGTGAACATTGTCGAATGCGCTGAGGGTTTCCTTGGGGGGAAGGCAAAGTGCATCGTCTGGATAGGAAACTGTTTATAATGTCTCCGGACACCAGACAACGAGGAAAGCGCGACCGAAACGAGTGGCAGTCGTGCTGTCCCAGAGTGAAGATGGATGAGTGTCGAAGAGTGTTGTCGCAGCTGACGTGCTATGTGCTTGATTTCTGTGTTGCGAATAGGAGCCCAACGCGGCTTCCCTGGTGGTGGTGCTGGCTGAGCAAACAGCTAGCTCTCTGTTCAGACACTATGCGGCAATGATTCTGCACGTATGACAGGTGTCAAAGAGTTGTTTTGAGCGGGAGCGGTGGACGATAAAGGATCATTAGGAGTGTTGAAACCTTTAAAATTGGACGAATTGGACGTTTTGAGGAACAACAGCACACTTTGGTTACTCCGGCTGACGGAATCTGACGAGTACGGCGAGACTAAAAAGAAAGGTGATCAAGCATAAACCCACAACAAAATATTTCATCACGCCACTTTACTCAAACTCTAACTGAACGTTCACAGAACATTAACTATGCATAATATGGATATATGCACCACAAAGTATGCCCGAAACTTCAATATCAAAGGCTAGATATGCCGCCGGATTCGCTGGCGTACGAGTACCGTTCTCTATTGAACGCAGCCGTACATAAATACGACGGACGGCTGCCGCGAGTCAAAACCTTGTCAAAACCTTGTCAAAACCTTGGCTTCAAGAGACCTCGTCTCTCAGACCAAACCCGGGGCATTGAATCCCAGACGGACGAAAGGATAGCTTCCTTTCTAACTATCCTTCGTCCAAACAATGGATTGGCTTGGGGAAACAAGGACTTCACGGTGGTATGGCCATGCCCAGACATACCGGTACGAGTAAGTTCTACGAAGAAAACCGACAAAACCCGCCCTGTTTCCACCTTTCCTCTTCAGCCTTGTCCTAAACGCCACTTTTCGCGGGGAGTCGGCCAACCAACGTCACTCATAAATGTCCCAGTCCATCTTTTTACGTCATTACTATAGACTGTACTTCCATGAGATGGTCTGTTTCTTTCTAACTTGATCTTTGACTTATTTTTATTCCTCTCTTCACAATACTCTATCCCTCTTGTCCTACGCCTCCAATCATGGCGTCTGTGATTCAACTGGAGAGTGATGTCAATAATCACGCGTGGGGGAAGAAGGGCCAGTCGTCCTTAGCCGCCCGGTATGCCGATGCTACACCGGGCAAGGAGTTCAAGGTTGCGTCGGGCAAATATTACTCTGAGATGTGGATAGGCACAAATCCAAACAATGCATCACGCATCCTGTCAACTGGACAGAAGCTCCAAGAATGGATCGACGGCAACAAAGAGAAGCTACTCGGGCCGGCTGTAATTGAGAAGTACGGCTCGGATCTGCCATTCCTACCCAAGGTCATCTCGATTTCGAATGAGCTCCCCGTCCAAATCCACCCGGATAAGGAGCTCGCGACCAAGCTGCACAAGCACAATCCCTCGAAATTCGGAGACCCAAATCACAAGCCCGAGCTGACAGTGGCTCTCACCGACTTCGAAGCCTTCGTTGGTTTCAAGCATGTTGATGACATTGAGGCTCTCTTCCAAGACGTACCCTTCCTCAGGGACCGATTCACCACCCAGCCGAAAACACCCTTCACCACCTCAACCCTCATCAATAATATCGTCCACAAGCTGCTCTCGCTCTCCGAGGAAGAAGCCGCCGAAGTATACTCCGCGCTACGCGACGCCCCGCGGTCCGAATATGGCGACCAGAGCTACATCCTGATGCTCCTCCCCCGCATCGCCAACCAGGATGGCGTCACCGACCCCGGCTGCCTCGTCTCGCTCCTCACTATGAACTTCGTCACCCTCAAGAAGGGCGAGGCGCTCTACATTCCCGCGGACAGCATCCACGCCTTCCTCTCCGGCGACGTCATCGAGTGCATGGCGCCCTCAGACAACGTGATTAACTGCGGCGTCTGCCCAAGAGCAAACCCAGAATCGATCAACCTCTTCACCTCGGCGCTGACGTTCGACTACAAGGACCCGCAGTCGATGGTGATAAAGCCGAAGGTGAGCACGAAGGGGCTGAAGGGCCATACGAGGGTATATTCGCCGCAAGGCAGCGAGTTTGATATGCTGGTTACTGAGCTGAAGAGCGAGGAGGAGGAGCATATCGCGGGCCTCCAGGGGCCGGGGATTGTGGTTGTGACGAAGGGGGGGGGGAAATTATATACCAAGGACGTGGATTTGGAGTTGAAGGAGGGCTATGCGTTTTTCGTTGCATATGATACCGATCTTAAGCTTGTCGCGGATGAGGGCGAGGGGCTTGATATTCACATGGCGTTTTGCGAGGCGTAATTGGGAGGTGACAAGGGATAATTTGTCGCAAGGAACTCGAGTTGTGCAGTTTCGCGTTTAAATTCTACTTCAACCGCATTTCAGACGCGGAACTGCACAACTTTTCGCAAGAACATCTGGTGTGCATATTAATTTATTCAGGCATTAGCGAAAGTTTGCTTCTACAGGCACTCTACCCCATAAACAATTTACTCAGGTATTGAACAGCTCTTGTCCCCTTGTCTTACACAGCTCTCCTCATCCCCGCCATCTTCTATCACATAGCCCTCCCCTCATCCCCGCTGTCTCCTGTCTCCTCCACATCCCCAACGGAGATCAAGTCTCCCAGATCGTTGACATACTCGTAAACAACGATTTCTCCCCAGACTTCCTCACTGATATCTCTGCCTTTAGCCATCAGAATGGCACGCGGGACACTGCTATAATGGATCGAATTGATGCACTGACGCTGACCGAAAATAACAAAGGAAGTCTGATTGGGGATCTGCTCCTTCGGTACCACAGAACCAATTGCGTCTATCTCGATTTCTGTATTGCTTAAAGCTATTCGGACATCGATCTGTACCCTAGTCGCATCTTTGTTCCGATAGGGGTCGTGTGCAGGTTGCGCAAGGTATTTTTTAAAGTCGTCTGATACGAGATCCTCTGATATGATTGTGCTCTGCGCACCAGTGTCCCAGAGCATCCCGATATTCGGCATCTCCTGAGCCATTATCGAGTCATCATGATCCACGCCGCGGAGGACAAGAGATGCCTTTACCATTGGTAAAGTTCTTTCGTAGGCCGATGCCGTCAAGATGACTGGCTATGGGCTGGTATATTCCTCTGCGGGAAATATATACTCTTTACGAGTCCTCGACGTTGACGGGGAGTGCAATCGAGTCTGTGTTATAGCGGGTGCTGATAAATTTGCCTGGGGCGAAAACGCCTGATGTTGTTGGCTCCGCATCTGTCCAGCTCGCAGCACCCTGGAGCGCGATCTCCCGGAAGTGTTTTCTCTGGGCCTCAGTTCGAGACTTCCTTAAAACAATAGAGTCATCTTCAGTCTTATCCACCAATGCGGCCTCCGTTTCGTGCAATACATGGCTCCATGTTGTCTTTCTTGGAATCGTAATCGTCACGTCTTTGAACTGGCTTGATAGGTGCGTTGCGACCTGTCTCATCAGTTCGCCTGGGGTCTCCGTTACAGAGGTGCCCATCTTTCAGTGCAGATAGTTCTCATATATTTATAAAGGGTAACTTTGTAGTGATGGTGCTCTTATAGAGATGATGATCTTATAGAGATGATGATCTTATAGAGATGATGATCTTATAGAGATGATGATCTTGTAGAGATGTCCTTGGTTAGATATTTCGATATGGTCTATTTAGTCACATGACTAGTATAAGTGACTCGTAGCTCTTGTCGCATAAACCTTATCTAGATAGTAAACCACGCTATGACTAAAACAGATTAGACTGTCCAAATCGTTGTTTCAATCTGAAATCTGTCTCCTCGAAGTTTATTGCTTATTCAATCTCGCGCCTACTACGGCTTGCAAAGCGATGTATGTAGCGAGATTGAATAAGTCTTCACCCAAAACAAATTAACAACTTATAAAACACGTTATGTTAGTAAACAGACTCTTCATTCTTATCTACTTGATGTACTCGACGTGCATACTCTGCTCACTCCTGCGGGTGCTTGAATCTGGCCCGGATAGGCAAAGAGTCCATTCTATCGACAGGTTGTGGGACCAATATGAACTCGCCGACTCGTGCAAACCAGTTGAAAACGACACAAACCTCCCTGCGTGATGTGGTACGCAAACAGGTAGTCGCCGGCCATGCGGCACAATCATACATCCAAGAACGCCACATCCATACATCCCCATCTTCCTCCTTGGCAGCTAGTATCGTCTCGACGTCAACCCGTGGGCGAAATGCAGCAAGATCTCAGAAAGCTCATGGGGTGTAAAAAGCTCACGCCAAATGGCGCGGCGGAGGTCCGTATTTTTCTTCTTTTTGTTCGTCCACACAGGCGCCAATAGATCGCAATTGTGATCTATTGCCTGGGCGACCCAGAAAACCATCCTCTCATTAATAACGTATTCCTCCAGCTCTCTCCGGAAACCTCTCATTGTCGTCCACGAGCAGGAGCAATTATAGTCACAGTCAGAGCACCCGTGGACTGGGGTGGCCTGGGACGCATCTGGGAGTAGGTCACGAAACATCCATGTTTGTATTCCCCCACAGCGGAAGAACAAACCCTGGGCAACTTCTCTAAATCCCCGATACTCCACATAGCCATGTATGGCATCGGATGTTGGTTTTGTTGGGTGGCTGTAGGGGGTGTACGTATACCCATCCCTCGATGCCGTGTATGTCGCAGGTATACCAAAGGCGATGGCAGTGCAACCAAATACGTCCTTCTGACCCTCATCTATGGGGAGGTTGAGGTCACACCTGTTCTGCTTCGGCGAGGTTGTCTGCCATGCTTCCACGGCTGAAAGCGTCTTGTAAATCGATCCTGGTTCTGGTTCTGTTTCGGAGATATTAGTTAGCAAAAGATATCTCGCAGGGTTGGTAGATCGCAAACGGTATATCTATGTCTTAGTGAAGTAGAGGTGCAGGGGGGTCTGCTATTAACCTGTATGCTCACCATCTAGTTCTTGTAATGTAAGAACAGAGCATTCTAATTGGCTAGTTTTAGATATATAGTGTGCGATTATGCTAAGAATTGCAAGGGAGTTGGGAGAAGTCTAGAGGTCAACTGTAAAGTGAGCTTTTAAGAGAGCTAATTGTACGTCGCATTTGATTTGTTGCTTTTGAGCCTTGTATGTACGCAACGTCCAGGTCTGTATCGTTAGAATAGAGTTTGGTAGCTAGTTATTAATCTCTAGATTAAGGTAGTAGAGTAATGCCCTAAATTTCAATAGTGTTGCTATATAGAAAGGGACTCTACAAGTTGTAATCCATGGTACATATAGCTACTTAACAACAGTAGTGTCTAAGGGTTGAGTTGTAATAGTAGAGAGACAGTGGCATTATAATTCGCATCCTTAGCTTTTATCAAAAGCATTAAGCGATGCTGCTTTGAATTAAGGTAGTTTGAGATTCCTAAGTAGAGGATATATCAATGTCATGTTCTTTTAGGTGCCTTGTAATAATCTTCATTCCGCTAGACTTAAGATACTTCTTTAGACAGTATCTACAATGCCATATTAACCTTGTGGTTATGAATGATATTGTAGCGGCTAACAGGTGTATGGTCCTAGACCTTTAAAAATCGTTTGGTTGTAGTTGTTATTATAGAGACAGAGGGAGAGGATAGTGTAAGGATGCCTTCTCATCGAATATTCTAAGGAGCAGACTCTGGGTAGCTGCGGGGTCATGTGTGATCATTTGGGTGGGCTAACCGAGTCAGATGGGTTTTGTAAGGATGCCAACACCCTCAGTGATGGAAGGGATCTGAGTCGGACTGGTTACGGTCACTTGGTAAGACTGAAAGGCAGGTCCTCCGCCCTCAGTTACGGAGAGGATTTGAGTCGGACTAGTTACGGTCACGTGGTGAGAGTTAAGGCAGGTTAGCCGAGTCGGACCTGTTTCGGGTACTTAAGGGAATTGACCCAACGGGGTTCCTCATCATCTTTTTTGTATCCTTCGTAGTAGACCTATAGGATAGCATCCGTTTAGCCTCTGACTCACACTCCCATATGCTATTACTGTGAGCTGGGTGCCCTGTGTCCTTACATTATACAAAAAAGATCACGCCTGCCAGGGACGGCCGTACTCCAATAATATCCCACACCAGAACGACTCAGGAGAACTACCATTACGACATCGACCGCGACTCGGTAATGTTTCAGACGAGAGACCTGATGACTTCAAATAGCCGTGATTCCAGAGATCTCATGGACAGCCAGTGGATCAGGGTTTGATTCTTCAGAACAAGCTGGTAAAGTCGCCGACGCGTTGGCACCGACTAGGATACAATATCTTAAGAACCCTCTCCTAGCACAGAGGAAATTGTGGACAAGAGCGTTGATAGCTACGAGCAACTGGAAGTCAAGCTCTTTCGTATCAGTACCGATACACACCCGAGGTAATATGTCAAGAAAGCCGACATCAAACACACCCCAAGACAACGATGGTCAACTACCTAGAATAACTACCAGACAAACCACCGCTGCAGCAATGACCGCTGTGCCATCTGAAGACATCCTGAGTCGAATGGCCCACCTCGAAGCACAGATACAGGAGGTCAAGGATCTACTAGTTACCCTGACGGCAGCCCAGACCAGAATCCCGTCCGCACCGCCGCCGGTGGACACCCCCATATCCACAGTTGAAGCTGCGGAGCAACTAACGTCTCACACACGAAACACCCCTGAGACAGTTCAATTGCCGCCTCTTCAGGACTTTCGTTCTCCATCGATCCCAAGGATATCGCGAATGCTCACCGAGGAGACACCGACTCGCTATAAGAAATCTACCATCTCGGAGAGAATCACTCTGCTCAGCGATGGGATAGAACATACCTTCCTACAATGGAGCGCTTCGATTCAGGACTGACTCATAGTCAATGAGGACCACTACCTTACCGACGTCTCGAGAAGAGCGTTGATATGGGGAACTACGACCGGCCTGGCTAAGACCTACCTAGAGCCCCAATACCTGTCCACTACGCATGGGTTCTGCAGTGCTGAGGAGATGATGGACCTACTAGGTTCATACTACCTCACCAGCAACGAGACGGAACAGGCCAGGAACATCTTCGACGACCTGCAAATGGGAGAGAAGGGACATGCTAGCGAAACCTTCCCAGAGTTCAAGGCTCGTTTCCAAAGTTCAGCTATCACAGGACAAGTCTCTGAGTCGGAATGGTTTCGGTACATGTGGAATAAGTTCACTCCTCAATTCCGCAGCCGCGTTGCGATCATCAAAAACCAATGGAATGGAGACTACCACACCATGGTACGAGAACTTACCGCCTTCGATCAGGAATGGCCCCAGAACAACGAATTGAATCCGCTACCCGCCCCCGCGAGGACGTCCACACGTACCACAGATATGGTAAAGGTGTCAGCGTCGAAGCCGACTCGAGCCACACCTGCTCTGTTTACCTGAACCACGTTCCTCCCCAAACCAATGATGCCAGAGCAGTCCCAGCGTCCTCAGGGAACTGTTTCAAGTGTGGCAAGCCCAGCCATTTCCAGGACAAATGCCCCCTTAACGCCACATCAAGGAAATTGACCGTAACGACCCTGAGGCAGAAGAACAATGGAAGGAAGCCATGGGATTCAATCGGATGCGTCCCTAGAGGAAAACGATGAGGCCTAGGAAAAGGCTCCTTCCTAGGTCTACGCAAGTGTGACCTGCGAGGAGTAGACTTACGAGAACTCCTGGGAGGTACCCAGTTCTTAGTCGATACAACCCTGAGTATGAACGGACTCGGGGTGCAAACGAAGTCCCTAGCAGACTCAGGAGTAAATGGCTACCTTGTCATTAATAAGCCTTTCGCAATACGACTGTCGAAAGTGCTTCAGAGCCCCATACGGAAACTACCCTACTCTGTACCCATACGTGGATTTCAGCGCAAAATACAAGGCCACGTATCAGAGTATATTCGGTTACACTTAACAGTTGAAGGACGCTGGATATATAACTGCCCCTTTGTACTCCTGGACCTCGGAGCACAAGATGTGATAATTGGGAAGAAGCTTTTCAGCTGCTTCCGAATACTACTTGACTCTACAAAGAGCCAGTTAGTATGGCCAAAGGAGTACCCGCCGACTCCTAGTTGGAGCAAGGAGATCACCTTGCCCTACTACACGTGAGAAACGTCCATTCGACATCCCGCATACCAGCCGGATGCGAATCACAGGGATGCTGCAATCCACCGCGAAGACAGACGCCACATAGGCGGATGCTCGATGAACATGAAAGTGATAACTTCAGGCTATGAAGAGATGACTGATATGCCACTGAGCCCTACCTGAAACCAAGAGGTTTCTCCCCCACTACTAGTGAAACTGGTACCTAGTTTCATGCCCATACGGATATGTGAAATCAGTGCCAATGCCTTCCATCACGAGATGATGCGAAGTGACTCTGAGTTCTTTCAGACTAGCATCTACGAAATTGACCAGATCATCCATGAAAAGGAGTTGGTAGAGGACGAAGAAACGCTCCGCCTCATCCAGCAGAAGCTTCCGCA